TTTAGATGAAATCTGACATTTTTCATTATGATGACAGTGCAACATTTTTTTCTCATTATATTGATATCATTCAATCCATGCAGAAGTTGATAATGTATTATTACATTGTCATATGCTCTAGATAAAATCATCATAAATTTGTAAACGCGTACAGTAAAATATGCTTTTTATGAAATAAAAAAATTTCTTAAATTTTACTTTGATCAATTCTGGTTTGCTTAAATTAATTTTAATGATTTTATTAGCAAACATAAAAAACCATATTTGTATACGAAAATATGATAAAAGAAATTTTCATTAAATTTTAAATTTACGAATTTAAAAATATACTCATATGGAATAACCAGTTTTTATTATTATAAATGTATATAAAATCTACATTTACATGTATTGAACAGAATTTTGATTATGACATATCGCAAATAAAATAAAATCAACCAACTTTGTTTAATGTGAAAATTATATTAGAAGAGTTATTTGTTAATATAATCTTATTTCAAAATCTTGTTAATTTTTAAAATGTTTTAATAGTGTTTTCAAACGTTTTTCTATGCTTCTTTGAATATGAATTAATTACTTGGGTTTTGTGAAAATCATTACATTTCCTTTTGATTATAAAAGACCTTGATTTGATTATATTAGTACAATTCTCTATTGTTAGGTTTCAAACTTTTGCTTTAGACTTGAATCCAGGATAAGATTAACCTAAAAAGATATGGGGTTGAATATGAAGTTCAAGTTATATAAGTCTCTGCAAGGATTGATGTGGTCTTCCCGTTTTGTCTTTTATGCTATCCACTTGGTTCCATTTGTGGCCTAAATTTGGTCTTCTTTATATTTAGATTAAATGAAAAAAATGAAAATTTCTTATGATTGAAGTCCATTACGTTATCAATTATTTTGTTGAGAAATTCTTGATACGGGCGGTAATGTAAAGTGCTTGGAACTTTCCATTCACGTGCTACGAATCAATCATTTATGGATTACAAAACTTAAATTCGTTTAGCTAACAAAAGATGACAACAATAATGGACAAGATGTCCCAAGACTTTTCTTGTCATTCATCCACAGTCGTCGTCACACATACAAAACACTTCAAGATGTTGTCGAGGTAGAGAGAATTCAACATGTACCATCAGTCTCCTATTTCTTTCTCCCCTCACATGATGGTTCTTAGATTCCGTGCGCATTGAGGTGGATCGAAATTATTCCGGGTAAGTTATTGTAAGTGGTGCTACTAATGTGCAAGTGAGAAATTCTTCATCTTTGTGAGGGACTAAGATGGATCCGAAATGTTTCACATCCTTTAATTTACATGTGCATCATAGAATGACAAGAACTGGAATGTATCAAAAGTACTCGTACATTCTGCGTCGATCTTATATTCCGCTCATTCGATTCAATCCTGGAAAGCTCGTGATCCCAACATAGGGTGCCTTCTGTCTGTGCATCTGATCGATTACAATTGTCCGGTGCTTCCTTGACAACAACTTCGTGAGAATTTCCAGTGTGACCCGGCTGCCCAAACTTGCCTTTTTTCTCTCACAGGGTATCTCTTTAGGCATCTCTTCTTATATGTAACCATTTCCTTCCTGCCGTGCTCAAAACTCCAATTTTCTGAGATAAAATACATGAATATTAAGTATGAAGTCTCTTACGTAGCAACTGATTCGACTCAACACGTTTGGACAGATGAGATTGCATCCCTTCTAACGCTATATACATTAATATAAATATAAAAAATATATATAGCATGATGCTGCAGTTATAGATTGTTTGTTTTATCAGTTCATCCAATAGACCCTCTTAATAACATACTGTATGTTGGATTTAGATTTCATCAAACAGTATGGACGTTACACGTTAAAGTATTTTGTAGTTTATTTTGATCAGGCATTGGATAAATGTGGATTTCATATCATGAGGGATTCTGTAGATGACGTAAAAGAACAACATACCTTTTCATTTTCTTCAGTAGTACATATCGAAGCATAAAATATCGATGAGATGTGTAATATATATCAAGTGCTTGTTTCATCGTACAACATGAGAATGGAATTTCTTGCGACAGCTGTAGACGGCAATCATGAGATCGAGAATGTCAAACATCACAAAATGAAAGGGTTTTAGGTAGATAGTGTTGGTGTAAAGGCGGCAAGGGGAGCTCACTCAGTTGCTTTGAGAGGTGGTTTCACGGTGTTGAAAACGAATATCTTCGACACATGATCAGGAGACAAGTCGGATCAGACGAGGGAGTGAGGAGTATGGAAAGCAGAAGTGGACCGGAGAACAATCTAACACCCAATCTGTCTCAGCAAGGAGCATGGAAGCTTCATCTTCGAGGGCATTGAATCAGTTCAAATCTTGGCATATATTCCAAAGGTATGGCTGGATTCTGTCCAGCCCACGAGGCGAAAGCAGTATTATAGTTCTTTCTGGTTTCCCTCGACTTTGGAACAATCTTCTCAAGCACATCGTCTGTGGGGTCATTCCAATCCAAGATATGCAAAAGGTGTCAAGTGGGCAGATTTGTGGGTGATCTATTCCTTTTGTCAGTTTGTCTTGCATATCAGGGAGTGTGGTGATGATGTCCTGTATCTGTAGATTTCAGTTACATGCACCTGGTTTCGACTGCAGGGCACGAGTATCGAGTCCAATCCTCGGAAGTTTTACTCATGGTCTCACTTGCGCTGCTGTCGTTGGGGGAGAGGTTTCGTTTATAATGAGCACCACTGAATCTATGTAACTCTCGTGAGCGGATGTTGTGGTGCAGGTTTGAACTCTCGAGGGCAGTTAATGCTCGGATGAATCGTCTTGGCCGTACTGGGGTGTGGAAACAGTGAAGGTCAATGTCATCTTGGGGGGGGGGGGGGGGAGAGATGCACTTCAACGTCAAGTTTGGGGGGTAAAACTTTTGGAAGGGGGAATATTTCCCCTCTATCCGTAGGCCAGAACAGTCGCTTTTCACAGAATATAGTTGAACATCTCTGAAAATATTCGCCCGAGGAGATGGCACTGTCTTGATCGGATAACCCGTGGTTCGCAGTGCATCCACAACGCACTGGCAATGATTGATTCTGGGGCGGGCATTCCACATTGATGTAGACGTGCCTCGCGTCCGGCCTCCTCCGGGTCTGCAAACCCCAATTTGAGGATTGCTGTGATTGAACGTCGTGCATGTTCTCTCCGAGCGCGACCCAAAATGCTGCCGATGCCCACGATATGATTGAGCCTAGATGTCCATGAGGCGGATCGGATCCGGCCATACATTTGCTCTGCATGTGCCGCAAGGGTGTGAAATACGGAACGAGGGTCAGCTGACAGATCCCTCCATGTTCGACGCGGACGTTCGAGCTCGGGCGAGGACTTGCGCCGGTCTGTTGACTCCCTCGAAAGGTACTTCCAGTACCGACGGCTTTCTATCGTGCCGCTCCATCGCCAACATGTCCTCCCTCCCCTGCGCCTCATTCAAACCGAAAAGCGCCGGCCCTCGTCCCCGTCCTGCATGTCTTGAACAAGCCCCTTCCGAGCCCCGCCAACGTTCGGGCTGGAGTTCTCTCGGAGAACGCGGAACGCCGTGGAACGTCCCTTGCTCCCCCTACTCTATGGGGGTAGCGTAGTCGGAAGTCGATCAAACGGAAGATCTCGGGGCGGGTTGACGTCAATGTTCAGGGTGAAGGGGGGAAGAGGGAAAGAAAAGGGGCAAAGAGGAAAAGAGGAAGAAGGAAGAAAGAAGAACCGGCGGATGGGGCGGACAAAGTCGTAGACCGTCGGGAACAGTCCACGGCCCTTGGTGGAAACCGAGAAAAGGTGGGCTGGATGGGCTTGGGCTTGGGGCTGGGGTTGGGGCTGGGTCGGGGCTGGGGTGGTGCCTGAGGAAGGGAGGCCACTGTGCGGAGGGAGGGCAGCGAGCGCCGGAGGGAGGGGGTTGGGGGGAGAGGGGAGCCTGGTCTACTTTGTCTTGTGCGCGCGTGAGGGGGTGTGGTGTGTATGGGTGAGGTCAGGCCTACGGTGATGTGAGCCTGACACCAGAGGCGGCAGCGGCAGCAGCCGAGCAGAGCAGAGCAGGCCAGGGGGGGGGCGGGGCAAGGGGCAAGGGGCAGGGGCAGGGCAGAGGTGCAAACAAACCCCGGGTCAGGCTGTGGTGCGATACGAGGGCCGGTGGTGGAGAGCGCAGCAGGGTGAATTGAGCACGGTGGTTATCGTGTGAGGCGAAGGGAAAGGAGCGAGAGAGTCCGAGGCAGCTGCTGCGAGAGGGAGAGGGAGAGGAAGACGGAGAGAGTGATCAGGATAAGTGAGTTAATGAGAGTGATAAGTAAGGGACGCGAGGGAGGGAGTGAGTGAAGCTGCAGCAGCTGCCGCCGTGCTGCCATCGTCATCATCGGCAGCAGAGGAAGAGGAGGCCCCAGGCAAAGCCAAGACCGAGCTTTGACGGAGGACGAGGTGGGGGGCCAGCAGCATCATCGAGCATCAATCAAGCGAGCGACCGAGCGAGCGAGAAGGGCAAGGGAAGGGGAAGGGGAAGGCGAAGTCAAGGAGAGGGGGCGGGAGAGAGAGAGAGAGAGAGAGAGCGCGAGCGAGCACAGGAGGTTATCTGTCGGAGTAGGTTTCGGCAGCGAGAGCGAGGGAGGAGGGGACGCGGTGCAGACTTTGTCTGCCTGGACCTCCGCCTGGCTTGCCTGCCTGCTGGCGGTGAGGAGCGGGGCGAGGGCCGGGAGAGGAAGGCGAGGAAAGAGGAGGTCGAGGAAGGGGGAAGGAGGGGGGAGGGGGGTAGACGGAGAAGGAGAAGGAGAAGAAGACGAAGCGCGAGGAGTGGGAGGGGAGCGGAGCGGAGCAGGTCGTCGAGTGAGTGAACGAAGGGGGCTTCGAGTCGGACTTGAGGTTGGTTGTGCTGGGCAAAGGGAAGCTAAAGCAAGCGCAAGGCAAGACGCAAGCTCCCGAGAGGGTGCGTGGTGCGAGGAGGTGAGATTTGTCTGCGAGGGCGCGGGTGGGACAGGCAGGGAGGGAGGCAGGAACGGAAGGGACGAGGTCTGGATCAGCACAGGGAGGAGCAAGTGCAGGGACAGAGGACAAAGGCGCATGTTGAAGTGGGCGACGAGGTGAAGTGACCTAGAGAGAGAAAGAGTGGAGGTGAGAGAAGCGGAGGTCGGGGAGGGGCGAGGAGGGCGGGAGGGAGGGAGGGAGGAGGAGAAGAGGGGGAGGGCAGACCAGTTAGTGAGATTTCCATGCCGGCGTCGCCTGCTTCCTCGCACCTCCCGGAGGGGCAGAGAGGCGGGGGAGCGACTTCTGTAACATCCGTGCCATCATCGGCAAGTAGCGTCGTGCCATCGGCGAGTGTTGCCGTAGACAGAGACAGAGCAACTCTTCGAGGATCCGGTGGCGATGACCTAACGAGTAGAACCTACAGTATCTCTACGCCCGATTCGGTCTTATCAACGCCATCATGGGATGGTGGCCGTAGTAGTAGTTCTCCTTTTGGAGCAGGTGGCGCAGACAGTAGCGGTGGCTTGATAAGAGTGCAAGAGGGTGTCGGAGGCCCCTCGCGCGGCTCCCCGGTGATGGATGTTACCAGGTTGCAGCAGCAGCTCAGCGAGTTCACCGATAGCTTGTTTGCTGAGGTTTGTCGCCCAAATCTCTGCTCAGATTGTTCGGATGGTTTGGCATTCTTGAATTTCTAGTTGCAATTCTCTGTCGCGATTATTTTCGCTTGATCTTACCCGCAACCTTCCCACCATCCTTCGTATTTTTCGTTCGAACGAGAGGTTCAGATCGACGCCTTGTATTCAACCTTCTCCCTTCTCCCTCGTCATAGTTTTGTGAACTGTTTGCGGTCACATGATGGTCGAGACCGAATGAATGGGGATCCGACTTCTGTATGATTGCGTGAAATGATTTTTAAGCTGGGCACATGTTTCTGTTCGATACTGCTCTCGAATACCTGGACATCTGGAGGTTCAGTTTTCTGGTTCGTCGTGCCGCAGATATTCGCGGCTTTCTCAGTGCTTAAGATTTGATCAAACCAGCTTTTATCGGTTCTCTGCAAGTTTTGTAATTTTTGGAGGCTCTGTCGAAGGTTGCCGCTGTGGCGGGAGATCCGAGACTTTCGGTCGTTATTCTTGTCGATGCACCCATTGCAATCTGATTCGACGCGTATTCGTTGCTGCTTATTCGTCCCGTACGATACAGGCTGTTCTCTTTAAGCTTCTATGGACTAATCGCTGTACATTTATGTGTTTCCAGGGGCTGCTTGACGATCAGTTCACCCAGCTCCAGCTACTACAGGATGCAAACAATCCCGATTTTGTTGCGGAGGTCGTTTCTCTCTTTTTTGAGGATTCGGAAAAGCTGCTTGAGCAATTGACGGAGTCACTGTATGGTCTCATATACCTGAACGTTTCCACTCGCTCTGATTTTGCGCTTGATTCATGGAATGGCTGATCGTCATCTATCTCGGCGCCGGTGGATTAGCGTGCCAATTTTGCATCGCGTATTATTTCACTAATCTGCCGACGATAGTTTGTCTTTAGTGTGACAGACGCGTCTCTTCTCAGCATGATGCTGAAATGTTAATTCTCTGTTGTTGAAACTGTTCAGTGAAACAACTCCAATAGACTACAGGAAGGTTGATGCTCATGTTCATCAATTCAAGGGTAGCAGCTCCAGGTATCGTCGTGGGCATATCATTTGCGAACGATCTTCTTCTTTCATACGTCTTGGGACGTTTTATTTCTAGCTGTTGGGGCCGGTCAAGTCGTTACTCTTATCATGTGTTGGTTATTTCTTACCTGATTTCCATGTTGTACAGTATTGGTGCCCAACGAGTTAAGACAGCCTGCATCACCTTTCGGACATGTTGTGAGGAGGAGAACAGGGAAGGGTAAGGCCGCACTGCTCGACTCTACATCGTTTACTTGTGGGCTGAATCCAACGCTGCTATGAGAGAGTGTCATGGGCGTTGTCTGATGCGTCGCATGGGCGATTCGCCGTCGTCTTGTTATGAGTTCTGACAGATATGAGTTCTTTCATTGTAGGTGTCAGCAGGCGCTGGTGCAGGTGAAGAATGAGTTTAACCTTGTGAAAACCAAGTTGGAACTATTGCTTAAGGTACTCGTTCTCTGTACTTGATTCTACTGTTTTGTGTACTGCTGTGCTAGGCAAAGGCTCTAGACTTCTTTGCCTGTGCGTCGGATACTAAAATTTCAGCCAAATTTGATATTTGCAGATGGAGCAACAAATCTTGGCCGCGGGAGGGACCCTACCTTTTATGGAGTGATTCAGTAATGAAATTTTATCTTCAAAAAATTTGTACAGTCTCTCCTTGAGGGTCAGAGGTGTAGACCTGCAATGTGCAGAAAGATAGTTTGACCAATAAAGGTCAAGAATGCTCAAAGTGTGCAGGAGGAGAAACCGGTGCAAAACCTTTAAACTTTAACCAACAGACGCGTTGTGTCTAGTTATTTTTTCGGAGGATAGCTGCTGCCACTTGTCCGGAGCACATTTGTGCGCCGGGGCTTGGGTCTCTCGTTGTTTCCGAGTATGTTGCAGATGATATCTTCTGGAGCTCGCGTTTGCGCCAGATACTGGATCATTCACTGGACTTTTCTTGGTATACTCGGAGGACGCAATTTGTGCATCTTCACTTGGAGCCCATGCCTTTGACAGCTCTGTATCTCCCAGGAGGGTTGTGTAGGGTAGTTCCTCAGGCAATTCTGTTGCCGGCACTGGGGTTACTGGTCGTAGATCGGACGGATTTGATATCGGCCATGTAATCATGGACTTCGCACTTGAGCAGATATTTCACCTATGCAGACGATTTTTGTACTTGAAAGTTTCGAGAGTAAAGATGCAATGAGTTACTGGTTTAGTAAATTACGTCTCTTTATTGCACTCGTTCTATGGAACACCTTCCGCAATCCGGATTGGCTCGAATCGACCTGTTGGGTGAAAATGTTCTTACATGATCCGGTTGTAGGAGAAAAATCCTGAGTCATGATTCTAGTTGAATCGGGTTGCGACCATGTTCCATACACAGAGCATAGTAACATTGGGTAAATGATCAAACCCATGAGTGGTGCCGGTCTTCCACATTGAAGCTGAAAGGAAAATTCTGTCAGAGGATGTATCTATTTGCGAAGCCGCTTCTTGACCGAATTCATTTACGTGTGAACCCATCTCGAGACGACAATCTAATTAGTCAGCGACTTCCTCCCTGGACCGTCGACACAGTGTGGTCAAACTCAATAAATACAGTGCGCTGCGAAGGTGGGAATGACAGTCCACAATCTTACCGGTTCTAGACCATATACAGAACCATTAAGAACACTCGTCACATTCCCAGCTAGCGGCATGTGGGGGAGGAGCCCGGCTGGAGACATTCGATGACACCTTGTCCTGGTCGAGGGGTAAACGCCTCCTTCGGGTCCATCGGGTCGTAGGATGTGGTCAACTATATCCTCAGCGAAGAGGAAGCCCCGGTCAGCTGCAACTTGCATAGAACATCACAGTACTGCAGTCAAAATCGCGTGCATGAATTTCGGTCGCGTTTGTCAACGCAGTATTGGATTTATTCCTTTGTTCCACCATGATGTAGGTCCTTTGAACCAGTGGATACTGTGCCCTCGTTAGCGACCGTTAAGGGCTCGGAACACACTGGGGCATTCATGATTCGCACCGCTATCTGCTCGTTAGCGGAGCGCTGAGTGAAAAGTCTTCAGACCGTATCCGATTCTGTACAGGGAATTGCTAGGCTCTGACTAGGATCTGAGCTACTCGCGGCATTGAATGCTTGCGAGACTTTAAGGAACACCGCGGTCATGCTGACGACAGGCTCTGTACGATCCAGTACCCTCAGCAGGGAGTATTTCACGTGCGTCACGATGTGCGAACCTAAGCCAGGGCTCGAGGGGTCTACAGGGCACGGCACATTAATCTCCCCGGACTCTTCCCTCATCACTCCTCCTGTCCTCTTCTCTCTACTGGTCTCTCGGCCCTCCAGCCCCCAGCCCTACCCGTCATGACACCTCAGGATAAGTCCTGGAATGCCACTGGAGTTGGTACGGTGCGAGAAACCCTGGAAACCTTGAGAAGCAAGCCTTGCTCTGGATTAGCAAAAGCGCATCGCAATCTCCATGGCAGAAAATTCCGTGGAATGGGCAGCAAAGCTGGAGACTTGAATCCGAAACCTTAAAGCGAACCGGACGACCTGTAAAGGCTTTCCAAAAGGGCACTCGCCCGCAGTGTGTACACCATAGGTACCCTGAAGAACCTTGAGTAGTTCTTTGGACCTTGTGCTTGCAGTCGGGGTCGATGGTCTGTGATGGTGATGCCTGTGGGCTGGGACAAAAGTCCCAATTCCTTAGCAGTGGATGGACTCCTGGTCTCAGGGCGGATGTTCTGTAGTCTTTCGGGATCCATGATCCTCTAGAGCATTTTCCCTCTTCACAGTAACTTCAGCTCGATTGAGATAACAGCAACAGGAAAATCAGTATAGAGGCGATCTGAACCTGGTCCCAGTCCAAAGCCGAAACGCATAAAACCGGCCAAATAATTTTGCCTGACCAGCCCCCACCAAGAGGGAATCAAGACCATGTCAAAACAAATAACTGGGCGAGCAGGATCGCGGCCCCGAACCACTCTATGGCGATGTGGGCAGTATCTTTAAGGGGGACTGAACCGGTACAACGATCCAAGCCACCCCAGGTCGAGCGCGCAAAGGTTCAGATCGGATCTTGCAGGAATGAGGATACTCAGACAGGTCCTACTGCTCTATCCCATCGCTACATCCCATGGCAACAAAAATTCGGCAGGATCTACCGCTACACAGTCCGGGATGGAACTGTAGTTCGCTCGACACTGCTCGGCCTTCGTCGGTCGGTCATCGATGTTTCACGATGGCGGAAGCCGGGGGCAAAACGGGTTGACGTCGAAGGCCCGGCCGAGAAAGGCAGATGAGGTGCGCGGGCGAGGTTGCGCTGCGGCTTTGGGTGAGGGAGGGGCAAGGTGACAAAAGCCAGGGGGAAAGGGGGAGTCGTTTGCTTCAGCACCAGCTTTTAGGTGACAAAATGAGCCACTTTCCCGTTGGCGAGCAGGACGAGCTGGGAAGGAGCAAATCCACAAGATTTCGAGCCCAACCGATCGGGTGCGAGTGAATCCAAAGACGAGTACAGTGGGTCGGCCATGTATAGGACCTGCACCATAATGGGAGAATAGTGCTCGACTCGGAGGACGACGCAGGACGCCACAGCACGCGTGCTGCGGCCCATCACTGCTCCGCTTGTCCGATGTGTGCTCTGCGAGCTCGAGTTCGGGCCGTGTGGAGCGAAGAGTGGAGCCCGAGCGAGCGAGGGAGCGAGGGAGTGAGCGAGTAGTGCAGGCTCAGGACTTGGATCGGGGCGTGCCTGGCACCTGAACGCTGCGCCGGATCCGATAGCCCTCGCCGTCAGTCGCTCTTTGTGGTCCTCTTCGGCCCACCGCGGCCCGCTGCGGCTGAGCGTGCGTCCCTCCTCCCCCTCCCCCTCCGTTGCGGGCCCCCACCCCCACCCCCAACCCCACCCCCAGCCCCAGCCCCCGACTCCGGCCTGCCACCACCGCGGCACCATCATGTCGACGGAATTCGCCGCTCCGGCTCGGCTCCGTCCACCTGTCCGTCCGCCCGCAGCAGATGGAAGGCTTCGGAGAGGCGAGAACAAGCCCAGGCCTGGCTCCTGGTCGGTCCCTGGCCAACCCCAACCCCAACCCCAGCCCCAACCTCAACCCCAACCTCCGCTCTCCCCCAACCCCACCCCCCTCAATAGCCGACTAGACCCTGGAGGGCGAGATCGATGGTCCTGCTGGGGAGGGGAGGGGAGGGGGCTTTCCGGGGGGCTTTTCTGGAGCCAGCCTGTTCTCAACTACTGTACTTCGCGAAGCGCAGGCCAGGGACTTAGCGGGGAATTCGGGGGGAGCTCCTGCGTTGCATGCAAGTCGGATTAGATGGGGTCGATTGCGCTTGGTGAGCACGGTGAAAAGGGGGTGACACTTTGAGTGGGGTTATGGACTGGTAACTCACTTTTTGCCAGTCGATCAGTGACCACATGCGTACCTTTAGGTCTGTACTTCAGCAGTTTGTCCTTGCCGCTGTAGAGAGATATAATTAGTATTGAGTGTTGGGGTCGAGTAGGGTTTCCCATCAGTGAGTGCCACTCGTGCTAAGGACACACTGTATGGAGCTCGATTCTATCGTGTATCGAGCTCGATCCTGGCAAATCTTCAGTTCTAGTGAATCCGCAGATTTGCTACGTAGGCTGACGGGCGAGCAATTGATAAACAATAATCCCACGGCGAGCCCCTCCTCCTTCGGGCTGTGGACTCCACAGGCACGTACCACCCCACCAGTGCCCTTTGATCCCCTCGAACCACTCTGGTTAGGGTTTCTGGCCCTCGCGGGTGTTGGCATCCCAACTGCCATGCCGGAGGTCGCATTACTCCGTGCGAACTCCGACGAGGGGCAGGCGGAGAAAACAAATCACAAGATCGGATCAGTCAATCACCCGCGAATAAGCCCAGCGAGTTATGGAGATCTCCCCTCTGGCACGTCACGCCTGGGAGGCCTTTTCTCTCGATAAGGAATGGCTTCACATGTCTCGAAATATAATATTTCGAACCTCACTCCCGAGAAAGAAGAGGAGTAATAAAAGTGTGGAGCTTCCTGTCCCTCTGACCGGGATTTCGCTGCGAAGGGTACTGCAAAATCTCTGTTGGTTCTCTGGATGGCCTCTGAAATTTGTTGTATTCTATTGCGTGCAGCCATATCGAACGCGAGTACGGTGCTAGCGGAAACTCTACCCGAAACGATGGCAACAAGCGCAAACCACATTCATGTGTTCACGGTCAGACACATCGGCAGCCAAGCGCAGGAAAGGGAGAATTATATCTCGAAGTCCGCGACTCGGTGGTGCCTCATGTGCCTGAGTGCTTTGCTCGTTGAGCAGATCTACTGAGGCCGCAGGTCGTACGCCGGAGTGCCTTGGCTCGGGCGGGGGCGAAGATGCTTTGAACCTCTGAAGGATCCAGGGAAACAGCTAGCCTGCGCCACTGTAGGAAAGACATCTAGAGACTGGTCTAGACAGCCTGTTCATAGCTACATTTAGATGCGCATGTCAGGATCAGATCTTACGCCCTTACAATTATAGTATTCTGCGAGCGTCGAACCCATTCGCTCACTCACGAGACCAGTCAGGCCGTCAGTTACAGAGCCAGTCCTGACACACCCACACCACACGGTGCTTTTGATTTCTCCGATGAGATCCATACTCCGTCCATTGCTGATGCACCTCAGATACGGTGCTCCCGTTCATCGTATCTCAAGTGCATCAGCAATGGACGGATTATCGACATTGTTGGAGATCCCGTTCACCGACACCGAGACCTCAAGCAAGGCGTCGAGAATGTCATGGATTCCGTACACGTCATGCGCGACTTCTGACAGTTGGGTGCACACTCCACGATGCCTCCCTCTCTCCCTCTCCCTCCCTCCCTCCCCAACTGACCCCCACAATGAATCTGATCTGAATGTCCCCAGGGTAAACGGTCGACGACTTGTGTCTTCAGATAGATTTGGATCCTCGTGCATGCCCAAGGCGTGAAATCATCCATTCATCACGCTGCACAGGGCGACAGCAACCGAGGCGAAACTCCGCTGACATTTTTTACCGGACACTGCACTGGGTGTGCTCGACACTGTGTTGGGAATCTGAGATGTCATTGTCATCGTCAAGGCAGTGCGCTCTGTACGCTCATTGTTGATGTCCTCAGTCGGTGGTGAAACCAGCAACCTAATCATATGTACTAAGGGAAACTCTGATTCTCAAGTCCAAGATAAAAGAGCTTCTAGACTGACCCATTCAGATTTGCATGTCATTGAGTTTTCACGAGGTGGTCAACCCGTGGGCCAAATTTAGCGCCGAGAGATGGAGTCTGGTGGACGCTGCGAGGCTTGGCCGAACCAGATTCGAGACGACGACGATCGTTCGACTGACGTTCTTTCTTGCTGGGAACAGTTGACATGCACGAGAACACGTGCACTCACCGGACGCGAGAGTTTACTTTCGACTCTTTCCATATCCATCGAACACGTGCTGTAACATTTGAATATACATTTATTCTATACATGGAGATTGGTCAAGAGTCCGGCAAATGTGCTGGAGCATACGGTCACGGTCCAGTGACTGCAGTCCACGTTCTCATAGTCCATAACAGATATACATCTTGTTGACCTACAAATCTCGTACAGTCCTCGTTCAGAAGTTTGGAATATTTGCTCCTCCTATTTACAGTTTGAGGTAGCGCATTTGAGCTGTCCAGAGAAGAGAGGTCGTGGGGCAGGAAGGTCGCTGGCGTCAATTCGCCTGACTTCCCCTGGGGCAAATGCGAGACTGCTATGCCTGTGATAAATCGACCGAGTCAGTACCGAGCTCAGGACAAAGATAAACCGCGCCAGAAATACGGAACATCACATGAGCTTCAGACTACTCGGCTGTTCGGAGTTGACCCTCACCTTCTTAGATCCTGGCCGGTCAAGGCGGCTTGAAGTATGGAAAGGTTGTCCGAGTCCGGTGACACGATGACGACTGCGTCCCCGTAATATTGAGTTTCTAATATAGACATCAGTTGCGTAAGTCGTACCAGTACATCCGTGACGCTTTCGTTGGGAGTTCCATCGGTGAAAGGTGGTGGTTTCACCATCACTGACTCTGAATCGCCTGCATATATCTAAAATCCCAAAACGCAAGGATAAGCATGGATAAGCATGACAGAGTGAAGAGCTGCTCGGTTTTTCAACCAAGTGTTCACAAGTGCTGCACCAAGAATGTTCTGCTGAGTTGCTTGCTTCACCACTCGGTATCTTACGCTGCACACCGATGTTTACAAAGTAAATGAAGAATGCGGAGAGTGATGTTTGGATCAGATGTACCTCGTCTACCGTCGATAACTTGCGGCCTTCATAAGCTCCTAATCCTCTTGCATCTAAAAAACTGTACTCCGGCACTATACGACTGTTCTGTGGACAATCCATTCATAAAGGACATGGATAAGCAGTTACGACTAGTGACTGTATAGACTACGAAAGCAGACTGAACCATGCATGACCTTTACACTTCGAAGAGTCGAAACTGTAAGATGGACGGCATGGTCCATGATATACTTGATGCTTGGAGATTTTGGAAGGTTATGATGCATGCCCTAGAATGCGACTGTGTGCCAGTAGTACGGAAAAATTAACCCATCACGGGTTTGAACTTCAGGATTCTGTTCCTACATTCTTCATAATTCTCTTGGATCTTCAACAAGGAAGCAATGTCTCTTAGATTCTCGTCTGGAGTTTTTCAGGTCAGCATCTAATTAAAGCAAGAGACATCGGAGACATAGAAAAGAAGTTGGTGTTCAGAGTGATAGGCTGTTGCAGGATCACTCGACAGTGATCATGGGACAGGTGAAGAGGGCAGGAGTTGACATACCTGTAAGTTATGTTGTTGATGTAAGCGATCAGCTCAGCAGATTGGTAAGCTCGCATCGTAATGGATGGCCAAATCCAACAGCTGTCTTCACAGGCTCCGATGTCCTTGAGCTGATGTGCCGCCTTCTCAGCTTGTCGGAGGCCTTCGGGCGAGAGTCCGTTATCCACAGATGTCTTTGACACAGGATTTGTGTTGATAAGTCCCATGCTCTCATAGTTGGACAATCCAGACCTCACAAGAAAGTACCTGCAATGTCAAACCGTTCAATCTGTTGTTACCAAATATCTGCACAGTTCCCCTACTTCGCGTTGAGATGATTAAGCTTTGATGGCCTAAACACAGATCATTCATGCGATCAGAAAGTTTGATGGATTTCAAGAAGAGAATCTGTCAACTGTCCTGTAGCTTCAGTATCACAGGGCTTCGAGCTCCAGTTTCTTACTGGCACATACCACAGCGAACTGATGATGCAAAGGCTGATATCTCAATTCTTGAGATTCTGTTCACATAATTCACGGATGATTTGCCCAGTTCAAATTTCGTTGAGACGTGAAGTAAGGAGAGTTTTCTGAAGAGGACTTTAAGGATTCAAAGCCAATTGCTCTTCATTCATCCAAAAGAAAATGGGCATTAGAAAGAGTCCATGAAAGTGTGAAGAAAGAACTCAATTCGTAATGAACGCGCCTTAGAACTGCTCACTTGATATCAAAGCTGAGCGAAGGGATTGTAAGTTGTACCGATTTTTGAGCTCTCGTGGAGGCATTTGCAGCAGACCATTTGCTGATGCAGGTCCCACGGTCACCATCTCCAGCCATGGAAATGGCTTTGAATAGGAGCTCTGCGGTGTGAGAGTGAGCAATGTTGCCGCCACAACAGCGCAAACTCTTTGTGGCCACCTTGGTTGTGACTTCACTTCATCATCCTTGACGGTGTCGGAAGCGCGAGGGGACACAAAGTGCCGTCTGTTGCTGGGATTTTCGATTTGAACATGCACGTCTAATGGTGATCTACAGAGACTCCCACGGCAGCTTGCAACTCCTCGCAAGAGAAGCTCTGCCATAGCCACCCTCGTTCCTCTCCTTCTCGTGTATCACGATTCGCCTCAGATCCCTGGGTGTCCACTTTCGCGGAGGATGTCAAGCCTGAGATGCAAACCTTTCTGATCTGATCCTGGTCTGTCGCCCTTACAATTGTATGGTCATAGTGTTCCCAAATTTTTGAAGATTCTTTCGAGAGCAAGCGCGCTTGTTTAAGTTCATGGCATATATTTGGGCATCGAATTTGTTTAGCTTCTACGACGACAGACGAGTCTCGTGATTTTGATTCTCGGTTATGTCGAACACGCTTGGACTCGTGGCGAGTGACTCCTAACCTCGTGGTGCCGTTCGCATAGCAGCCCGCGTGTGTGAATGACCGACCCACTGCCTGACACGAGGCCCACCAGAGCCCATCAATTTCATCCCCTCCCTTCGTATGCAAAGAAAACTGCATTTACACGTTGCTGCACATTCTCTCCCGCTCTCTCTTTCTTAGTGGCCGTATTTCGATTTCTGCCACCAACCGAGTCCTGTTTTTCTCGCAACGCATGTTTGTCGTATGTCTCTTTGAAGTACCTTCAGTACTGGAAATTGAATTTCTTCGCATCTACACTGTAACAATATAAGTCTACATACATAGATTGATGGGGTGTTATCATTGATCCCATCAAGATTAACTTGGTAATGTGTTTAACTTTTTAAAATCTCAACTTTCATGTTCATGGAGTGAAGTGTAAGGAATTTTTATTTATCCTGTTGTACTTGTAATTGCATTTGTAAATGATCTCAATGAGATATAAAACTAGACTTGAAATCAATAATTTTTTCTAAAATGTTAAATATTAGTATGTAGTCGCAACCGCCTTAGTATAATCTACTAAAGGGTTCGTTCATTTTTTCTTTAAAATGACTCATAAATAAAAGTATGTTTTGATAAATTGAAATATATTTTAAAAAATAAAAATCAAGAAAATATTTATTATTTATTATAATTTTAAATAAATTACTTTGAATACACAATCTAATTTTTTTGTGATAATATGAAATATATATATATATATGCAAAATTAGTTCATTAAATTTATTTGATATTATTTTTGTATAATTTCCAAAAATTTTAATTACATAAAATAAATAAATAAATATTTTCAATATATTTTAATACTGTAGAGAAGATATTTCAATTGATAAAAATTTATGTTGATTGTAAATTAGAAAATCTATGCAAAGTTCACTTTTAATGCATATATCTAAAAATTTTGGGCCAAATTTTTTTTCCCAAAAAAGTCATGAAAACTAACTTTAAGTTTTAAAATCAATCGAATTTAATCCTCAACTTTGTTTATGGAAGTACACTTGTAGGTTAAAATTAAAATATGTATGCTAATACCAGTGACTCTAGCTTTTTTTTATCATGACTAAATAAATCTTAAATAAGTTAAAAGTCTGAAATCTACATATTATCATATCTGATTATATAACACGGAAACATGTTAATATTAGTCAATAATAAAAAATCGAATGATTGTTAAGAAATTACTAAGTTTTGAGAAATTTGTGATTAATATTGCATAGCATAATTTACAAGCACCTCAATTTTTGCATGTTTTTTAAAATAAATTTTGAAGTAAAGTACAAACTATTCACCACGTTTAGTTGGGATTGTTTTGGACATGTATATCAATTATATCAGAATATGAAAATAATATAGAGATCAAATAGAGAGAATAATTGAATTGAACATCTATACATATGGAACTATCAAATTATACTGTATCCATGGTTCAAGTCACATCCAATCTGATAATTTACAAGGTGAGCTACAAAAATGTATCCTAGATTGTTCTTTCTATGTGCACACTACAATATAGTTGTATGTGATTAAATAAATAAAAAAATAAACAAATAAATAAGTCATCACGACATAATCCTTTGGGTGTAAATTAAACCATGATTTCTTAAGAATCATATCGTTTCCATTCGGGAATTATGCCGAGAGTATAATATTCACGATAACAGGTTCGAATATAACAAACGTCCTATTTATCTCAAAGTGGCTATGTCATAGCATGCCACTCCTTAAAAGATTGCAGAATAAACTCCACAAACTAGGCAAACAAAATTCATATATCTCTTAAATCGTGAGGGTTGAGCGAAGCACATCTACCCGCAGAAGCGTTTCTTCCATTGTGGGTGGTCAAGAGATTGATGGGGCTAATGAAACTCTTATAACATCTAATTGAGGAATAAATAAATAAATAAATGTAAAGTTTGAGAAAATAGCACAGAGGAGAGAGTTGCGTATTGGAGACACATAGTTTTATGTGTCTTCAATATGTCCAAGTCCAAAATTATAGTTTGAATCAAACTATAATTTTGGATTTCATTGAAGATGCCTCAATCGTCTTACATATGCGCTCTCTGTCACCCGATGGGCGCTAAAATAAATCGCAAAGTATATCATGCGAGCATACTTGCAGGTCTTGGAAAAGTAATAAATAATCTGTAAGAAATTCTCTAAATTGCCGTGATATTACCGAACGGGGGTCGATAATTCTGGAGAAATCAGGATGTACGTTACTTTTTTGGAAAAGAAGCACTTCAAATGTGAATTTCAAAGCGTCCGTTACGAACTTTTTGGGCCTCAACTAAAGGTCGCCAATATCGATCGTATTTGGCATCTCACAGTTAACTATTTACGGGGTCAAAGGACAAAGTGGGGACTCGGGCCGGGGGTCTACAATGACGAATATCGTGCGCGGGAAGTAACACGGGAAGCGCGTCTGGACGCGCAAGAGATGGGGGCCCGCGCTTTCTATGACTCATTGGCAGCCGTCAGACGGGTAGATCATGCGTTCTGGACCGTCCGTCTCAGCTGACTGAGAGGGGAGGTAACGGGTGGCCGCTGGCCCGGCCCGGCCCGGGACTCTCTTCAGGGAGTCTGCAGAGGGGCTGCCGAAGGCCTTCATTTGTCGAAGGAGAGGCGCTCATCTCTTCGTCCTCGTCGTCGTTACGCCTCAGATCTTTTGCAATTTTCTTGCGGCTTTCGACTATCTGCGCAGCGTTTGTTTTTTGCAGTCATGTCGGGAAGACAAGGTATGCCGTTATCTGTTTTGCTCGTGGTTTTTTTTCCAATTGCATTTCTTTCGATGTCCTTTTGTCGATTAGGTCCTGTTTTCTCTCCTTCGCTTCGTATTGGATGCAGTTTGCTATTCGGGTGTCTTTCTATGATTTGGAATGCGGAAATTGGTGTAGACCGGGGTTTTTTTGTGTCGTAGAGATGTTTCTGTTTCCTCTCGGTACTTTTTTCCATCGGCGTACGTCTTTTTCTTCTAACTTTTATTCCGAATCTGTCACAACCGCCGACCGAGAATTTTTAATGATCTCGACTTACTGATGTAGATTCTTATTCGATTTGTTTGGGATTATCGCGGATCTATCATTGCTCATTGCCCATTGCCCTGTCCTTGCGCCGTCGGTGGTTAGGGTTGGAGTGTTCTGAACGTGTAGTATGCTAGAAGCAGATAACGCAAGAGTTGACCATTTGAAATGTTCATCTGCTTGACGAATTGTCGATAACTTGAACTAAAGTTCACGATAAGTGAGGGACGACATTCAATGTGAGACATCATATGTAGTCTTGTTTGTGTATGGAGTTGGGCTTTTCAAATTCCTTCTTATGTGTTTGCAATTTAGCGCCTCGCTACCTTTTCCGTTTGGCCTGATCTTCTATTTATTCTAAATTTTTCATTTAGACTTCTGGACTGCAAATGCGGCCTTGCTTCTCTACCATAATTTCTACTTTTATTCTCGTTTGGCAAAAAACAAAAAAACACGGCGTGCTTTGCGTACAGTTCCGTTCTCTTGTTCTTTTCATTGACCACTTGCCAGCTAGAGTTAGGACTTGATTAACCATGAATTAGTTTCGGAGGCTCTATAGTGTTGAATTCTCCTGACTTTGCGCTTCTTATTTAACTATCTTCCTCTATAAGTTGAAAGTTGTCTTGCTGCATAACCCTATTTCCTGGTTGTTGGAATTGTGCTAGAAGGGTACCTTGAATGGAATTGCGAGCCTAGCTACACTTCTTTCACGAATTGAACGGAAATATCTTCACTAATCTTCTTTCTTTGTGATATCTCTTTTCTTACTTCCTTCACAGAGTTTTTTTTTTCCTCATCTGTGGTAGGAGTCGTGTTAACGTTTAGACTTTAGTCTCAGTTTTCCTCGTTGAAATAGGGGTCGTTCTTGTCCATGGTGCCTCGACGTTCTGAATCCTGACCAAGCTAGCAATAGGTCAAGATCCCCACGTGTTGTATCTTCGTCTTCTCTTTCGTTATTCTTGGTTTCCCTATCTTCTGTGTCGTCAGTTATGTACTTGTGTCCTACCTGCTTAATATCTCAACCTTTTGCTGAACACCTGACGGTTTTCATGCGTTTATAACTCATTCTTGTAAGTTCGTATTTGAAGGTGGAAAGTTGAAGCCTTTGAAGGCTCCCAAGAAGGGAGACAAAGACTACGATGAGGTATATGATTTTTCCATCTGCAAGCATCGTATGTCGTTTACCGAAGTGACCCAGCGTGTAGGTTTGCACAGGGTAGTATCGTGCTTTATGCTACTACAGGCAGGCGGAGTCTCTCCTTGAGGTGTCAGACTTATTGGATGGATGGGTTCCCTCTTGCAGGCCGATCTCGCTCACATGCAAAAGAAGAAAGAGGAGGAGAAGGTGAGATGTTGTGAAATTTGATTTTTTGGTTTTTTGGTTGTTTCCACGAGGTATATTTGTGTTCCCACTGTAAGCAACACCACCACACATTTTAAGCTTGCATTAGGTACATAGCTGTACACACTCTGTGGGCTTAGAACGACGTGTATGTGGTTTAGAAATGCGTTCTCTCTATCGGGTCACTCTCACGGTGTTCGAATGTGCAGTATGCTAGAAACAATCGCTTCTGTATAACATTTTTTGTGTGCTCTGCATATCTGAATGTTCCCAGGCTTTGAAGGAACTGAAAGCTAAGGCTTCAGGTAAAGGTACATTTGGTGGTGCTGGGTTGAAAAAGAGCGGCAGTAGTGGGAAGAAATGAGCTTCAAGCGTACTATGACTTGAATGAAGTCATTACTGCACTCTTGGTGTTTCGAGACGGAGCTGTCCGCTCTGGAACAGATTGAACAAATTCAGTTTCCTCGGCCTGGCGACAATTGAGCAGGGAAACATATGATCCAGTCTATGGGGTTTTGTACAGCTAGTTGTTTACGATGTTGTGTGAACATCAATTCTCCAGCGGTTCTAAGAGTGGATCGTTCACAGAGCGCCGAGAGCTTGGTGCCTCTTCCTCTTGGTCTGTGCATTTCTTGGCATCGATTAGCAGGCTGCATGTCGATGTAGACTTGTTCGTGCCCAGAACTGTACCGTATATGTGACTACATGGCCGGTATAAACATGAACGATTATCTTTTGCCACCCATGTGGAAGTGAGCCTGTAACAATATCGTGAACAATATTACCTAATTTTTCATTCTCATTTGCCTGCACGTCAGCTTCTGAGGTGCTCTAGTGTTTACCTTGATCAGCATCCAATGCGCACAAACGAGTTTCTTTGCGCTCCTATGTCATCCCTTTGGTGAAATATTTGTGAGTCATGGTTGCTATGGTCGATCCGGAATGGCGTTACGGCAATGTTTCTACCGATCAGAACTGCATGCAGGTGGATCAAAGGCTTTTGAACTTGCGATATCCGCATCACTGTGAAGACATGGTCCTTTCATGTTTGAGTTCTGGAAGTCGGTCTTTAGCACAGTACTTAGCACGGTAGTACGGCCAACAAGAAGGACACAGCTTACGTTTAAGCCTGTCTTTTCTTCTATGTGTATCATGGTTGTATTTTCAACGAAATCGAAATAGGCACGCTCCTAGAAAACTTTCACCAGTAACTACTGGGTGGTGTTATCACTCGGTTACCGAAAATGCCTTAAGGCGGCAGGCAGTAGAGTTGGTTACGAAAATTATACGAGTTTGCACCAATTCTCGGATCATAAAACTTGTCAAGCAAATTCTCTGAAGATGAAAATTCATGAGGAGGCCCGAAGTATGAAGCACAATCATGGGGCAGCGGAATATAAACGTGAGTAACCCGTCAAGTTTGTAATGACGTGGCAAGCGAGCTCGAAGATGGCACATCGGCTGTAGTCTGAGGACAGGAAAGTGGTGTGCGATGCAAACTCAAGCACCTCGAGACCAACTACAGAGCACAGGGACGCGGTGGTGAACGCATGCATGGCCTGCCAAAGCTAAATTGCGATGCACCGTTGGTCGGTCGCTCGGGGAGAGCCCGGACTTGTTCCGGACTGATATACAGTACTACCTCACGTAAGCTGGGGCTTTGTGTTATCTGCTCCTTATTTCGGCCTGCCATTTTCTGTCGTGTTATCTTTAAATCCGATCGCGCTGCCTCGTGTCACTACCTTCACCCAATTGCTGCTGTGCTCCCATCATTCATCCTCTGTTCCCTCTTCACCACTCGTTTTCCCCGTCCCTTTCTCGGCGTTGCCACGCCCTCACTCCGATCCGGCTTTTCTTACCATCACATTGTCCGCCACTGTTCCGCCAGTCAGCAGCTCATCGATTGTGCAATTCGCGGAAACAAACTGTCGACGTTGTGAGTGAGGGCGAGCGAAGGACCGAAGGCTCTCTGTCTGGGAGGAAATACGAAGGCAGCTATGGCGAGCACGGCGGTTGCGGTCGGGGGCCAACTCTCCCTCTCGCTCGGCCTCGCGAGGAAAAGTGCCCGGGGCATCGCGGGACGGTCGGCAGTTTCTGCCGCTCCATGCTTGGTGTCAGCACGCTTGGGTGGCAGCCCTCAGCAGGTTTCCTCCATCGGCGTCGCTCAAGGTGAAGGAAGCATGTTCTCCCGTCTAGAAGTGAGCAGTTTCCCCGTTGGAATTTGAATTCTGCTGAGCAAGATTGAGACGCAGACTTCGGCCTTGAACATGCACAGTTGCGGCTCTTTCGCTTCTTGCTGTTGGGGATGAAATCAGATCGTCTGTAAACAGGAGCAGGAATGATGACGATCGGAGCGTTGTTGTGGCGACCAAATACAGTTTTCTAATTGGAATTTGCTGCGACATGCGCGTAGCTTGCAGATCTCTCGCAGTTGCGGATACATTCTCGCATAATTGTAGGTGCTTTGTGAATTGTACTGAAGAGTTTAGGTACAATTGCCGTGTTCACAGAATCGAAGAGACGATTCTCCAGCATCATCGCGAAGGCGTCTGAACAAGCTGATGCCTCTGAGCAGGCTACCGAAGTTTTGAAAGGCGTACAAGAATGGGTAGGTGCCAGTTGTCCTCCCATACTCCATTGGTACTAAGGATTTCGAGAGTATGCTACGAGTATCTGCTTGTTTACATAACGTTCCTCGTTCAGTCACTCGCCTTTGTCGGATGGGAATCGTATTTGAATATCTATCTGGACCTTTAAGCTAAGAAGTCAAACTTGGTATGTCCTTGCAGTGGGAGAAGGTCGATGACAAGTTGGCGATCGGTGGTTTGGGATTTGCTGGTCTAATTTTGTTGTGGGCTTCAACTGGTCTCATTTCAGTGAGTACATTTTCCTGTCCCTTGATTGTGCATGAGATTCACCTTCGTCTTCGGAATGCCCCACCATCGACTGTGTTATGAGTCATCTCTAGTACCCCAAGAATGGGGCCTCGAAGAGTAAGAGCATAGTGGTAGAGGCACAAAATCGAAGAAAGCTCGAGATTGTTTCAATACTCTCTTGAACCGCCAAAGCAGTGAGTGGAATTGGCCCGGTCCAATTTGTGGAGCTAGTTGCAAGTAGACCATAAGCTCTGTGAAGCGTCTATGTCCAAACCCGTGTCTGCTTGTGCCAACAGTATCAATGGAAGAGACGTGAATGACTTAATGAGCTAGAATGCTTCACTCTTTTAGCTTCAATTGTCGAGTACAACCAAGTTTTTCCTCCGTCGCGTGAAACTCACAGTAATTGAAAACTCACAGAAACTCTCATGCGTAATTGTCCTACATCCAGGCTCTAGACAAGCTGCCCTTGGTCCCAGACTTCTTCGAGGTGGTTGGTATCTTGTTCTCCGGGGTAAGTCCGAGAATCATCTATGATGTGCACCTTTGTGATGCTGCAGCTGCATGAATCCTTTAGCGTTGCGTTCAATATCTGACAGCTTCTTCAACACTGTCCTTGGTTGTCATACAGTGGTTCACCTACCGTTATCTCCTCTTCAAACCCGACAGGTCAGCTCTACTGCCCAATTTTTGGTTGTGAGACTCTAGAACTGTTTCTTTCTAAGTAATGGTTTGCGGTTCATTGTGCTAGGAGCAAATGGCATCACAGAAGTCAACCTTATGCGTTATCCGACTTTGCATGTATGACGCAGGGAGGAGCTCGCCAAGATTGTCGACGAAGCGAAGGGAAAGATCACTGGTCAGTGATGTGCAACACGATTCATCTGATTTTTGATGAACTGGTCCAAAGAACCGTCTGAGACAGCAGCTGTGCATGGGCAATACTCGTTTTCAGTGCGACTAGGATCAGTTCGATGCTCCATTTGTAAAAATGTCAATTGTTGGAACCTCAAACGAATCCCTCTGTAATTTTCCTGTGTCCTACTTGCTACTGCAAGCGATACTTGTCAGTTCAATCTCACTACTTGTAGTGCCACAAGTACGTCGCTTCTGCTTCCAAGATTTCTTTTGTAGACACGAGTGTATATCAGTTAGCTCACTTTTGACAGTCGACATTGTCAGACCTTTCTTCTTTCCTGTTCAAATCGTCCTCATGCACGTCAAATAAACAAGTGCCGATTTCATGAAAATGCCCGTGAATGCTTACAATTGAGCGAGTTGCTGATTTCTTTGTAAGCGAGTCCTAGGAACAGAGTGTGCTACCAAACGTACGAACTGTCTAGAAGGCCTAGCTATTATGTCACGTACCTGCATGCTCGTCTAATTATGAATGTAGCCTCTAGCTTGAGAAGTTGTTCTTGGTCTAAGGCCAATCTTCAGAGGCTGTCAAGGGTAAGTGAAGTGGGGTCTGAGAGGCTTGTTGTAGATGAATCATAGAGCTTTGGGTCCATGGATGAAGAGCATTGAATGCAGCATGCCGCAAAGAGCGTCAAGTCATCACCCCTTGCTGTGAATCTATCTGAGTTTGGGTATCACCCTTTCGTCATACTTTTGTCATTGGAGGCACCGGGAGTGGTGAGCTCGAACCCCGAGCTGCGACTACGGCCACCAAAGCAGAATCGGTTCGATCTCCTTCGGTGGCAACAGCAGGAGGCAAGCAGACAGTCGACAGTGACTCAGAGACCACAGCGGAAGCTGGGAAGCAGAAGCTCGCCACTGCCGTCGGGGTAGCCCAGCTTCCTGCAGAGGACGGCAACGGCGTGGGAACGAGTGCAAGTGGAGACGCGGCCCAAGGTTCGACTGACGGACGAAGGCTTGGTCGTGACGATGATGTGAAAGCCTCACCCGACTGGCAGCCAGAAGGTGCTCCGGTCGGCGAGTGGGTCGGATTTGCCAATCCTGGGCCTCAAATCGGCATTAACGAGCCCAATGGTACCGTCAGACCGGATGTGTCGGTATGAAATGTCCGCTGAAGATCATGTTACAGTACCAAGTCCGACACAGAGCAGTTTAGATTAGTGCGACAGCATTGTCCCTCGAGGTTCATCAAAGGATGGCTCCTCTTTTTGTACCATGTTTTCAGTTCCAGTAAGTCTCCATCGGATCTTTGTCGATCCCCGAGAGCTGCAATGATCAAATCAGTACATACAATCTCTGTCTACAAAGCCTTATCTTCTGAGCCCGGGTGAACCCTTCCTCCGAAGTGTCTTGTCGTGTTTCGGTTGTCGTAATAAAACGTGGAAATTCGTGAAGTCAACCAGGCTGTATGATCGACTTCCCCCTCCCCCTTTCCCCTTTCACCCCACAATGTCAATACTCAGAGCGGGTCTGAGTGGAAGCCAATGAAGCCCAACAGGTCTGTGGATCATGATTGTTAATTCTGGAATATTTTCCCTTTTCTGTCAGGGCATGAACCGTTAAATTGTGGTACAAGGTTGTAATATAGTTTCTACCGAATTAATTTTCTCTCACGCCAAATTAGTTTCCATCAGTGTACCAACATATTTGGCTGCTCTAGGCAACATCCCCGTGCGCTGATCAGGTTGGATAATAAGTCAGAGGAGAATCTTTGAAGTGCCTCCACACCTGAAGCGTTTGAGATCAATAACATCTGCTTGAAAGGAGGTGCAGAGGAATATTTGCACTAATAAGCTCTTGTCTCGAATCAAAAGGTCATGAGTACTGGTCTTTTGTGAAAAAAAGAATGTAAGAAGTAACACCCTCGCAGAAGTTGGCTGAAAATAATTCAATAGTATTATATGGATGAGATATTAACGGCATCTAAAAGATTTTAGGTGAATAATTCTGTTATTATCTCATCAGGTTCACATTGAAATTTTCATCAGTTAAACCTTCAAACGATGTCAGAAGTCCACTGGAAAGATGGGAAGCCCCATCGAGTCGTACAAGGATAACAGCCAATAATAAAATGGTTAAGAAAAAGTTGGAAATCCAGACTTCTTGTGATTCGCTGTTGGAACCGATTCTTGTGATGAGAAGATTTACTATGGCGTGCATCACGCTAGATGGAGAGTGAAAGTAACTATTCCTCCTTTCTTCCATACACATTGATTTTTTAAAAATCAGATATGAATCAATCAATCGGAATCTGTAAGTAGGTTGATTATTAGTAATGAAAACTTTATAATTTTATATTCAGCATGTCTATAACTTTTTCCGAGAATTTAATGTAATCATATATCGAATTTTATATGGAGAAGTTTTATGTGATGAAAATTGGACTGTGGCAAATTATGACTATTATAAAGTACACAATTTCTCTCTCATATAAATAAATAGATAAATTAATAAATAGATAAAACCAAAGTGGTAAAATTTCTTACATATTGATTTGAGTGAAGGTTTTTTTGAATTCTATATAAAAAAAATACAAATATTCAAAGATAGAAAATTTCAAATTTTTTTCATGCATAATTTATGTCTTTCATAATAGTTATAATCAGAAATCTATGGAAGATTCCATAGAAATATTACATGATAAATGATATATGATGATTAGAAACAATCGTTAGATGATCTGATTAGCGTTGTAACTGGCATGATGAACCAAAATCACTGTCAGAACCATATTATCTATGTGATAGATAGGTGTTAAAATTTCAGCTTTGAATCAAGTTTATATGTTATGATGATTTGTGTTGATGTATCGTTCTTTTATTCATTTCGATAAAAGTTTGGATTTCATTTGGATAAAAGTTTTGCATTGAGATCTGAAATTCGTAAGATTACTAGGCATTTAGATATTTTAATTTAGTTGGAGTCTATTGGAGATCTATTTTGAAATTTTGTGATTGTACATATTATGTTGGAAATACTAAAATTATTTTTAATTTCTTAATTTCATCTTCGATGAGTATAGTGTAAATGAAAAGAACTCCATTCGTTTGATTAATATAACGTTTGAATTTGAAAAAGTTGGAAATATCTAGTATTCAAAAGTATCATAATTTCTAATCATGATGCTATTAAAGTAGACCTTGATATTCCGTATACTGTAATTCTATGGCTTGATGGATTCTTCCATCTTTTTTCTATCCACTTGGCTACTTATGTAAATATCATTGGAATTGATGAATGAGTTTGAAATGCTAAATCAATTTAATCAATTTTATATATATGAATGATACTGGTAGAATGTGTTTGAATGCACTTACAAAAAAGTCATTGGACGTCGTTTTGTTTGACAGAACATTCATAAGAATTATTTAAACTACAAAGGATAGTGGCTAAACTACAACAAGTGTTTTTAGCAAATTGATCTACAGGAATATGATTGATTCGAGTATATCTCTAACAGTGTTCTATTGAATCGATATTGTAAATTTTTTTTACAAATAATTATTATTATATGTAAAATATTTTTTTCTAGGCTTCAATCAAAAAAATTTTTCATCCCTTGAAAAACTCTAATTCCTTCCTATAAATGAAAGAGCAGGACCAATTTTTAATATTGAAATAATAATATTATTAATGACAGGTTTTCGAGAGTATCATGTGCGGAGATAGCTCAGTTGGGAGAGCGTCAGACTGAAGATCTGAAGGTCGCGTGTTCGATCCACGCTCACCGCATCTCGCTTTTGAATTCATGGCCTTTTACGGAACGCTGTTATATCATGGATCCAGGTTCTATGGAGTTCTTATGGAAAATTCTTGAAGCCTAGTCTTCCATCTAGATTTCGATGTGATCGACCAGATAAACACTCACGGGTTTGGACACACACGAAAGGAAGCAAACCAATTTTGCCAAAACTGCTCTCTAGGACGAACTCAACGGGGTGGCTTTGCACGTGTCGTTTCAAGTGGCCCACTTCTCGTCAAAATTGTTTTCCCCGGACATCCACATAAATTCAGAGAAATAATCTCTTTTCAATCTCCACATGGAAGTGCTTTCATGCAAACATAGTTTCTTTCATCAGTTGTGTCATCCAGTCTCATTTAACCTTTCAGATCGTGTTAAAGCTTAAATTCAACTAATCTACTGTGGGATTTCACCAAAAGCTTATCCAACATGCTTAAAAGAGTCACAATGCGAAATCTACCTTTGGATATGTTTGAAGATCAAGAGTAGGATGCAACTATATCGCCCAAACTTACTAGACCCTATCGTGACACTGAGATTTTGTCCATATCCAGAAAAAAGAGTTGAATATTCCAGAAACGTGAATTGCATTCCCTGCTTACTTCCAGTCCTGCGCAAGGTTCCAATATATTTCCTGGCTTCTTTCAAGCGACTTTCATGGCCGGGAACTGTACATCTGATGACGAATCGAGATCGAGAATTAATTCATCCGGAATTTGATTAAGGATGTTGACGTGGCATATCATTCAAGATGAAGATATATTCTAGTGTCGGTTCCACTTCTATGAATCTCCCATCATGATTCAGATCTGGCGACTCGATACTCAGTTGGCTGCAAGTATGTATAGTATAAGCAAGCTTCCGTCTTCTTGCTTTATGTGGACAGTGTAAGAAAAAAAATTGGTAGTAAATTACTCCATTTCGGAAAGATTGGGTTTCGATTGAACAGTAATGCAACTACGGAGAATGTGGGAAAAAGAGGGTTCACATGAAAGTAAGAAGAAAAAAGCCAGGTCTTTCTATTCAAGATTAAAGAGACCAAAGTCAGGAGACCAAAATGAGTCCGTATAAAAGCATTATCTGCTTTAATTTTTCAAGTATAAAAGTACGAGATCTGTGCCAAAAGGACCAAACTTGAGATACTAAAAATGTAGGGTTGGAATTAGACTTTCACTTGCAAATGCTAGTGTGTAGATGGAAAAACGGTGAGCTTGTCATTGTGTTCTTCGTTTCTGGGCAGATAATCAACATGTACTGCATTTTATTTGTGTTCCAGAACCAGAAATTGAAGGGCATGATTAGGGTTTTTGACTCCTAGAAAAGTCACTTTTCAGACTAGTTAAGAAATTCACGAGTATTGGTCAGCTTTAAATCGATTTGATGGCAAGACTAATAAACTTATCCCTCATCTGTTTATTTCGTATATTCTTCATGATAATGGAAATATTACATCAATCATCATCTATTCTAGCTAGAAATTCAACTGTGATTTAAAGGGGTTTTGCATGCAAAGAAGTAGATCTAAACACCTTACTCAAAATTTTGGTTAGGAGATACAAAATAGAATTTCCTAGTGTTTGGATTATAATTATTCCAACTTTTCTAAGAGAGACTAGAATATCTGAAAAGTTTAAGTTTATATCACAAAGATGAGTATCAAAGTTGGAAAGCGATGGACCTGTTTGATATTTTCAACTTCAAGCCGAAGATGATCGTGATTTAGAAAGAACTGCAAGATTAACATAAGAAAAAAATTATAAGCCATTCATTCATTCCTCAATTTTGAATTTAACCGTAGATATTTTTGTTGTGTACGAGACAGTTTAAGCTAAATATAATTTTACAAACTCAAGTCCAGCGTATAAATGCTATGACAGACACATGGTGTCGCATACACTTTGTCAGTTTTGGGCTCATATCGTACTGTGCTCAAGATTCCTCGGACAAGATTCAGTACTTATTGAATGACGAAGTTTTCATAACGTCGAGTTCTGCGGAATGGGTCTAAAAATTAATTTTACGATTTTCTAGCTCCAGCAGTCTTTGGGGACTTAATCAAGGCGACTCAGTGCATGCAATTAGTGTCTTCACTCAGTGCATTGTGATTGGCATCATGTCGTCCAAGAGTTTGTCATGCAGAGAAGCAGGCGTGCAAGTTGCGCATGCAGCTCGCCAGCCGTCCAGTCCAATGGAGTTTGGGCTTATGGTCTATCTCCCAGCAATGATTTCATCAATCAAATCACTTGCACATCATCTTTATCGCGTCAATGGTGGCTCCGCGATCAAGTTGGGTACAATTTTTTACTTAAATCCAGTCCAGTTTCATGAGGAAGCCGTACATTCGTGGTCGAACTACTCCGCTTCGACTTGTCGCTTGACGGCAAGACAGCATTCTCCCAGAAGAACGTGGTTAGCCACGTTCATTCTTTAGTGAACCATTCTGTTAGTGAACCGCCATCGATAATTAGACTAGAACATACGGACATACATGCAGATTTAACTACAAATTTAGCATTTAACATGCTGGAAAGAAGTCAGAGGCAAAAGGAACACCCGTGGAAGAAAAGTTTGTCTTCCTGTGTAGCAAATGGATACTTATAAAATAATCCAGGTGATTAATTTCACGTCGACATCCATAATTATTTTTTTCTATATCATTTCAAGTTGAAGCTTGTGAAATCTTAACAAGATTCACGGAGATGTCTATCGTTTTTCCACACCAAGAGAATTCTGATCTGGCTCTGACGCACTGGCTGAGGTTATTCGATTTCTTGCGCACGGCATAATTTTTTTGCTCGTTTGCAAGTGCGACGTCATGAAAGCAAACTGCTCTGTCATCTGGTGGTCCATCCAGTGCTTTGGGGGCTGAGCATTCTCAATATCTCGGTGCAAGGATGCATTCTCTTCCCTCCAGTGGCGTACCAGCATCTCCTCTGCGATCTTCTGGCAATCGATCTCGTCCGCTGAAACGCTTGTGTCAGGATTGTCTGCTGTCATCAGAACAACACCTCTTTCGAAATCGCCCGAAGTCTTCTTCAACAAGGTATCATCCGAGGTTTTCCACATTTTCCTTTTCATCGCCACCTCAGCCTTCTTTTTTTTCGCAGCGATCTGAGCCACGTTGTAGTTCAACAAAATGTTCATCATTATCTCGTACCGCCCTTTGGAGGAAATGGTACCTGCTCCTCTACACCGTTTGTTGCCAAGCTGTTCATCAATTTCTTTGGGTCGACTGACTTGTTCGTTTGGAAGACTTCTAGCGCGCACTTTTTTATCTTTCATGGTCACATCCGATCACAGCTCAAAGATTGCAAGCTCGGGAAAGACAGTCGACAAATCAAGACCAATGCAATCAAGAAATGAGAAGACTACTGCCTGTGTTGGCAAAGGCACGGAACTTTTCATTCAGAATAGGTGGCAATCAGGGCGAGAGAGAACGCAGGACCAAGTCCCAATACAGTGCCAGCTTCTGAATCCTTCTACGTCATACAATGATTTAATCCTGCTCTAGGATAGACACAGGGTTAAGTACGCTTCGACGGACTCGTGCCCAAGTTGCTGAGCGTTACAGCAGCTGTTATAAGTTTCCATAAGTGGATTCCGTGTAATACGTATCATATCTAGTCACCCTTCGTGTGTCATGATTTCCTAACAAAATTGTGTCAGCTGGATTTGTCAACTTCACGAAGAAAGCAACTCGACGATACGTAATTATATCTGTTCTATAAATAACTTGCTAAATTGTATATATGTACTTAAACTTTGCATGATTGAGGTAGTCTGTAAGTAATGAAATTTTACCTTTTTTTAAAATATATGTACCTCAGTGAAACAGTTGCAAGCTTTTCTTCTGGCCAGAATGTTGGAAAGTTTTTAGTTTTACTTAGGTGATACAAGTGATTTTCAACGCGCACTTTCTTGTTCGATGGTACACTTCGTTCAACGTGTTAAAGACAGAAAGAAGGACTTTATGTAACGCCGCCAGTTACTCACCATGCTTGGCAAGATGAGAACCTGGAGTCACTGGTCGCTGATTGTACCAAGTTCACAGCTGTTTGAGAAGAAGAGTGGGAAACCCAAACATGCACTACGTGAAATCTTCGTCAAGAACGAAGCGAGAGCAAGATGGTTGCCACACCAGATTTACGTTACAGTACCGCATTGATTGAGCAGTTGATGCATACTACAAGTGGTTTTTTCATATGGGGTTAAGTTTCTGGAGCCAGATACTGGAAACAAGAGCTGAGAACAAGTTTGCAAGCTTTATCAGAGCCAGTAGTTTCAAAATGAGGGTTGAAGGTCTTCACTAGCTGTCTCCGTACTTGTAAAACTCTCAGACGATGCATGAAATTTATTCACAGCATATTACCGCTTTCGGGTTCTTATTGTGTGTGATATACAACTAAATATCGAATGCAAATAATTTTTTCTGATTTTATTACCCATAAGTAAACAAACCTGGAAAATCCATCTCTAACTTAAAGCAGTGACGAGTTGGAGTAAAATTCCTGATTTCGAATGGTACATGCACGCGGAACAAGATGTGGCTAGAGATCACTACCGTAGTTCGTTTCACCAGTTTCGTTTCTATCTCTTGATCTTATAATTAGATATATAGGCATGATGTATCCAGCATTTCTATCAACGACAGCATGTTAAGAGTCACAGCTACTGACATTACTGAGACACTTGGGTAAATCTCAGCCGATAGTCTTAATAACATCACATTCTGACCGTTACAGCGAGATGTAAAGATCGATCTGGGATAACAGGAAGGGAAAAAAGGGGATTTCATATTGTGATTCCTTCAGTAAAGGAAGAACCAGTGAAGAAAAAGGTCAAATTTCGCATTTGCTGATGAGACAGTTGACAAGTTGGATATTATCAAATTTCAAATATTGAAGAATCTAAAGTGTGAAAGATGTGCCTGAATGGAATATTTCGTCGTTTGAGCTTTTTGTGGTGGTTATTGGTAAGCATGTACTGAGGAAAAGATTGTCAGTCTAGATGCCTGAAAGTCGTCTGCTTATCTGTGTTAGAATTCATGTATGCATGGATCACCAAACACTATTCTGGAGAGCGATACTAAGAGGTTATGGAACCAATCCGAAGTCCATCGTACATGCTTCAGATTATTTTAGTCCTGTGAGACACCTAGCCACACCACTACGAACTCCAAGCTTGGCTTCGAAGCCTCTCAGGAGCATCCAGGGTGATGAGCGTTATTGAGTCTCCAATTCTCGAGGCGAGAGGAACGATACTTTTCATGATGACTTAAGAATCGCGAGAAACTCTTTTTCTCGCTTTCCAGCTCCATCCTTCCGGCGCAAAATTCAACCCTCACTACTTGTTCGTGCATGCCGCATGAAAGAGCCTTGAATTCTTCCCTTAGGGAGATGGAGACTTCAGTTGCTTATTGTCGTGGCCATACTTCGTGATCAAATAAGCAGAAGAGGCCTTGCTTGCACTTTCCAGGACAGAATTGTGAAATCCAGCCGCAACCCCTGGGAAGCTAACTGGCCCAGTCTTATGAACTGTGACAAAAAAATCACCTCATACGGGGCAATACGTACTCATCATCAGAAGGCTGTAACCGATGATCGGCTTCTGACTTCCGTGTTCATGATCGCTTTCAGAAGATGGCTGACCTGCTTACCGATCCGAGCATCGGGTCCCCTCCGCACCTCGGTCTTACTGCTGTTGATATGTTGTTGTAATCGACGGTGTGAAGGCTATGGCTACGAGTCTCCCACTGTGGCTCGTGCAGTGTGTGAGCAGATTGATGTTTTATACTCTACCCATCCTGAGAAGGTTAATGCTTGCTCGGTTAAGCTCCAAACTCCACGGAGTATTTAAGTAAACAGTTGTATTTTAAGTCACTGGAATTAACAGAAGACGAACCATCACCTTTAATCACTAGTTTAATCATAGCTATCGAACACGTGCTAGAGTTGTCGGTAGGTACTCTGGCGGCACAGATTAGATGCCTATTCCTGCTTTGGCTTCCGAGAAAATAGAGTAGTCGAAAATCGTAGGGACCGCCGCCAAAGAGCCAAGAGGTGGTGAAAAGTCCACGACAAAGTCACGTGTGAACGAGGTTCGTGACCATCATGTAGTTAAGTACCATCCAAATCTCTATGTTTAGTGGGGACAAAAAGACAAATAGCAATGGCCGCCGCTATGCACGCCTCGAGGACCTCAAACAAATTGAGTCGTGTCACAAAGACGGGGTTGGACACCTCTCTTATCAAATTAATGAGATGTGTTGAACGATGCATATTAAGCACCAGGAAAGATTGAAAGATTACTAAGGACGAGCCTATACAGTAGTTCCAGGTAGGTCTCTATCCAGCATCCGCAAAACAAAAGATGTTGGAAAAGCTATTATTTTCCAGTCCACCAGTGAGTTATATGTTATCTCCTAACCTGAACAAGAGATATTTAGCATGGAGTTCATGAAACCGCTACTGCGGAGAGATAAACGGAAAGATAATTGATATCCATCACGTCGTTGCCGCCTTTATGACGCTGGTTATAGTTCCAATTGACCAATTTTTTTTTTCAATGGATGATAATAAGTTATCTGATAGTATATTCCAGAGAATTATGTAAATCAGCCTAAAAAACTTAAGCAGCGTATGTTTCAGATTCAGCAAACATTCACTCGCCTTCAATGATGTGGTAGAGAGTGTCAAGTGAAAGTGAAAACTCTTCTGCTCATGTATTCACATGAGCAGATGTTGATTTCCTGTCAAATTTGCATATGAGAAACCATAAGTCGTTTGATATGGCAGTGGCATTCAAAGTAATGCTTCAGACGACCTGCGTCTATCTGAAAACTTTGTTCATATCTGCAATAAGTTTGTTCAAGGCTTGACCATTAATATGGTTAGAACATGATAAGTAAAATTTTGTACATTTAGCTGCTCACGGGTCCTTGAAGCAGTTATGGGCCATAGAGTGTATGAATGTCTCCCTTTGATAGCTTCGATCCCACTCTGAATGGAGAATATACCACGCTACTCTTATTTCTTGAAACTCATAGAGCTATTTAAGATAGGTGAATTTTTTTAAAATTTTGATCCAGCCATTTTTATGGTCATTATCTCAAAATAGTTTGCTTCTACCTATATGGCTGATAAGGAGCAGGCCAAGAGTGTTGTTCGTGAAACAAAAACTATGTTCTTGTTATTCAGTTACTTAAGTATTGTATAAGATTCTTTGATAGCCAGAAGTTATTGAAAAGTTTGAATTGCAAGGAGGCTTTGTGAAGTCTTTATGAAGTCAATAATATATAATTTTATTTCAGATTTTACTGAAGTAATAGAGTATATACACCCTTGTATTGGAAACAAAAATGTCATTCAAATTTGGATGAAACGATCTACAGAGAACTAGAGAACGAATCAGAGTATTTATCTCTTAATCAGAGTTTGCCACTCTTAATATTTTCTTCAATCCATATGGAGTATTGTCAGTGAAGAAGTACAGAAAAGTTAGTGATCTGATTCAATGAACGTTTCAAGTATTCACCTGTGTAGGTCTTCATTCAGCGGATCCGTCTACATCTATATGATGTTAGGAAAATATGCTATTAATACATCCATCTGATGTGAATGAACTCTACTGGCTATTATAGGATCACTGATGATTCTTAAAACTTTCAATCTGAATAAGAATGAAACGCTGTGAATATAGTGGACGTCGTGAGGTTAGAAATCTCGCAACCAGCATGAAAATATAGTGAAAATAAAAATATTTTTTTTTTTGAATTGAGCTTCATTTTGGAGAGGTATATGTAAATGATGGATCCTTATGATAGGGAAAAATTGCAAATATCAAAGTTTCTTTGATTCAACTTACTTGAATTAATCACAAATGACAAGGTAGGATATCATGGATTCTTGATAAGAGCAAGGTTTCAAGTGCATTGGTCTCCAAAAATTGTCATGACATTGATGTTATTGCTTTCCCACCAGGGCTCCGATCGTGTCGGGTTTGACCTTCAACCCGAACCCGACCCGAAAAACTGCTAAATTTTAAAATGTCTGCCTTCGCATGCTTGCTTCTATAACTGCTACCACAGTTTTACAAAATGGTATAAGCCAGCATTTGTCTAATTATATATCACTCGAAGGAAGACATGTAAAAATAACCTGCTGCTCTTATTTTTCAGTTAAAAACCGCTTGGCCGCAAGGTTTACATTGTTTGTTTCTGTTTTGTGTGTGGAATTGACATTAAGAGAAGACTTTTGTGGAAAAAAGTCAGCAGGACCAAATGCGTATATATAGGTGCCGTGCAGCATGATATATAGCTTCACCTTTGGCATTCTATGCAATGTGGCGTTTGCAGCAAGTGCAATCACAAGATATTTCTCCTCCGCAGTGTTCTTGTTATCCTTGCCTGGTTTGTTGCTCCATATCCATTGTAGTTTTCTCCTCTGTACAAAATCTCCTCATACATGATCAGAATATAAATAGCATCTTAGTCAGCTCTATTCCATTCTAATAGCCTGTGTTTTTCAATTTCGGCTATTTTACGACATTCAAAGATGCTATGGTGATTGTTGGCAGCGTAAGAGTCTGCTATTTGTTTCTCATTTTGATCCAAAGTAATTCCTATGATAAAAATTGAAAATTGGAAATTTTAGATCTTGATCGGACACTAAACTCGATGACGATTAGCGTAGGGAAGAGCCCGCGCTCGCATGCAGTCTAGCCCAAAGAAGGCAAGTTTAAATGTAACTTTTCTTGGTCATTTGTTAGAAGCTTTGCTAGTTTAATGATTCTATTACTTTTGCAAACCATCATTTCCTTCATCAAATTCGGAGCGTCCTTCGATTGCAGTTTTAAGCCTCGCAAATCTGTCAGTGAGCTTTTAATACCAAGACCGAATGATGGACGAGAGAGGAAAGAGAGGTTGGGACTCAATGAGAAGGAAAAGGAAGAAAAAAAGAGTGAAGCCAAGTACTGGAGAATATATAAATACATCTGGTGACTCAGTACATTGTCAATATCTACATCTGTTACTGCTGAATTGTATGTTTACCAACATGCTAACAGATATACATTTAGCTTAGCCTTCGCATAACCAATGTATTAGAGCACTGTATCAAATTATTTTTCATATCAAACACTGCCTATGAGTAATGGCAGCATAATGAGAGCAATTGGCTAATTATAGTCACGATCATAACACCATCGATGATGTTGTCAGGCTCGCACATGTTCTAAACTATCCAACAAAATTATACTGCCTATAATACTGCAAGCTGTGAGACCATTTAAGTCTACCCAGCAGTTTCAATGTTTATCTGAAACAAGGTGGAGTTTCACAACTCCACGTTACAATATGGGTAGTTGGCTCAGATCTCGTTCACTTTTGTTGGGCTCAAGCCAATAGTTCGGTGAAAATCCTCATGGAAGGATGGGGTCTTCTCATCCTTTTTTGTTTTCTACTTGTGGTAGGTGAAACTCCGCTAAGTGCTTAGCGTACCCGAGTAACATGTCCCCACAGATGCATGCGTTCCACTGTGAGCACCTCCACTTGAACCAATCCAACGCCGAAGAGTCAATTTTCGTCCCTAGGCATGCATGGTCGACTGCATCCCCAGTGGGATGTGAGCTCAGGTCACCTGAAAAAGAAATAACGAGTGAAATAAGACACCTGCCGTTCAGACAGTTCGCGTGCGTGATATCATTCTAGTACCTATGGAGTATTTTCAGGTGATTCTTGTCTCCTCGATCCGGTTGCAACCTAGTAAGCAGAAGGTATTATGTGGCCAGCGAGTTGAAATTTGAGGTCTGGCGGTTGATCGATTCTTCGGCAAGCAACACCTTTCCACTAACAATTATACTGTTGATCGAAGCCAATACTCTGTATCAGCTACTACTGATGGGAGCATATAGAGAGGAACTAATATAAGAATGTCTGGTTTGCAGCACGTGCAATCCAGATAATTAACCTGACACTAGTCCGATCTCCATTTAAGGCCAGGCCAGCGATGATCGTCACTCAGGACACAGCCGTAGTACAGCATGTAGGGGAAGCAGCAGACGAGGAAAAGGTTGAAGAGTTAAGGCCAGTGCGGACACATTAATGGACCCGATGTTCAAGTTAAGTGAATAGCGGTATAAGTTTATATGAGAACAATCCAGATACAAAATATCAACATGTAGACCGTTTTGATCCAATACTTTACATAGTTTTTTTAATTCATTATATATATATGATATATATATATAATTCTAACCATTGGATACAATTTTTACTTATTTTTTATGAGGGTTTTTATCTTTCTTGGTTTTGGTTTGCTCCATTCTTTGCTGGGTTCTCACTGTTTACGTCGAGATTCGACGCCGATGAGCGAACCGAAGTGACCCAACGATAGAGTACAAAAACGGACTGTTCTCTGTTCTGTTAAAAGCTTGCACAGTGATATCTTGACCGTGGCCATGGCGACAATGGTCTCAAAAGGGGTCGAATCAGTGGAGTTCCGCACTCTGACTCGGTCTTCGAGGCGATGCTTCCTAGAAGAATGCACATGGCTCGTGAATTCCCTTGTCGAGGCAGAATCTGCGCTAATATTTATACCCAGACATGAATATGTGTCAATTTCATTGAAGCTAGTCAGACTCCAGCTATGTAGGTGGAATTTGTCTCTTGACTACGACCCTCCTCAGGGCATAACCTTTACGCTCCATAAGGTGTATGTACATGGTTTAGAATTTGAGAACATTAGCAAGTGAATAAGAGCAGCCGATATATAGCTTAGTGAACCAAATATATGTTAAAACTCAACTCATATTGAGTGCTTTCAATTGAGGTGAGAGTTTATTGTAATAACTTCATGAGAATTACAATTAAATATAACTAAAAATAGAAAATAATTATATATGATACAATAAGATTACAACCAAGACTTCACAAGATTCGTATATATTTTAGATCATCTAGATCACCAGGAACAAAGTTGATTAAAAGCTATAAATGGTAAATGGTAATAGATCAACCCCGGGGGACCCAAAGGGTCAAAAGGCTGAAAAACACAATACAAGCGACAGCCACAAACAAGGGAAAAGACCCATATAGTTGCTGCTTGCCGAATATTTGATTAGTCACAGGTTAGCGGTCATTATGATAAGTTGATTGAATATCCCGCGGTATATCAGAGATCCCTGGTTCACATATCCTTTCTAGATGTAAACTAATTACATAGACGAAGGAACACATCACTTGAATGTTGGCCATCATGGAATCAAATATTTTATGAACCTCGTATCAAGAGGCTTATCTGCTCAGCCCCACAAGGTCTCATTGAGAGCAGCCGATATGTTCGGTGGACAAACAGGGTCTACTAAAATCTGAAGTATTGGAGTTAATATTGTAGAGTCAAATTGACAGACTCTGCCGTTATCCCTTGGGGCCCAGTAGTTAAAAGGTCTTCTAAGAATATCTGGATCTGTTTAGGAACATAAGATACATAGGATACTGAGACTCAAAAGCGAAATTCCAGGTCTTCTTCATCTTGTTGCGGTTAACTCTTCATGATCAGAACTTACTAGACATTCGTCCGCTAACAATGTTCAGATCTTGATCGTTTGCAGCTGCAAGAATTTAGTGTCATCGTTCGCGTACACGTTTTGCCATACTTTCAACTGGTAGTGTTGCCATCTCGTTACCGGTGACTCACCACTTTCCTGCTGTTTTGACTTTGTACATTCCTATTTTTATGATTTTGAATCAGTGTACTGGAATAAACCGACCATCCCAGGCTTATTTTGACCTTAGCATGGTTTGGACCAGGATTTGGATTCTTCTGTTTTTTTATGAGTATAGTCTATTAAGATTAATCTCACCCCTGATTTATATTTCCTTCGGATTAAATCTTAACTAGTCTTGTGGTGTTGTGATACCATGAAATGTGCATTTAGAACTATGAAGTACTTCGGAAATGGTCTTAATTTTAACTATTTATGATATTTATATAAATATTCACAGATACGTTTTTCTATATTTTATATCACTAAAAATGTTATATTACAAATATTCTTTCTAATCCACTGCCGCTGGGCTACATGGTAGCACATGACGCATGTTGTAAATAATGACAAGAACGCAATCGGGGGGTCTATTTGACTTTGTGGCATGCACGAGAGATTGGGAAAGTACCCGGAACCAACGACTGAGTGCCCATTTTTCTTTTGGGAGCCTGGGTTATGTTTATCCGATATCGCGGCGTGCCAACCTAGATACTCCTCACTTTTCACTCACTCAGTTACCTCCACTCCACAAACTCCATCCTCTATTTAATTATTCTTGTGACTTTGAGCGGGTCCTGTATGTTGGACAACATAAGATTCAAACCTCAGTCGGGCGACAAGACTTGCTTGTGGTGTGACAAAAAGCTACAAGGATGTCGGGAGTGGTACTAATAGTCAGCTGCCATGGATGACATACTCAAATAACATCCTTAAACAAGTTCTATAGTTAAATCCACAATATGGAAGTCCACAATGCTGCACCTTTAGTAACCTGTGACTTCATGGAGTATTTTTAAGACATGAACAGAGGACGACTCAGGCGTGATGAGTTCTGTCCAGTCATACTTGGGAGCAGTAATAGAAGCTTTATAAACAACTTACTGAAAGGCATCACGACATGATAAACAGGAGTAGATGGGAATGAGATGGAAAAGTGAACATACTGATTCGGAAGTTACCCATTGAAGTTCCGAATAGGAGAATTTCACAACTAATCACCGAAATCTTTATTCCTTGTATCAGGTGTATATATCGTGTAACTTTTAACCTTAGACGAAATAGACCTCTATGCACTCTTGCTGGAGCCAACAGTCTTTGATTTCTCTTCTGGCTTGCAATATATGGTGCTTTCTCCATGAGTTTTTACTGTCTTAAGCTATTTGTTGATACTCTAGGCTGATACAATAATGCACACGAAGAACAATTTTCTTCATGGGCAATGTGTTTATGTGACCAATACTCCTGTCTTTGCATTTCATTCCCTTGCCTTCTACTTTTCATCCCTGCAATCTCCTAATGAAATTCGCTCGGCTTCATCCCTATGCAATGCTTCATGGCCAATAATGGATCTGACCAAAGGGCAACTTTAATCAAGAAACGACCGATGACCAAAGCAGGGCCCCATCAGTGTTCTGGAATTCAGTACTGAATCCACCAATAGATCTGGAGCACTCCTAATTACAATCTCTAACTTTGACATTTTCTACTTGTCTATGGAAACTCGATCATGATCTTTTATCGGCGATGGTCTGATCTAGAAATTTGCACTAAGAGCAACAAATGCTCTTGAAAATGTCAATGCCCGTAAACGCAAAATACGTGCCAAATCAGAAATTTGACAAGAAGTCCAGACCCGCAGAAAACCTCCAAATAATTCCAGAAGAGCGTGATTACATTATCAGTATTTGTACTGATTTACTTTCGCTGGAAGAGTTGGTCTATGGGATAGACGAAGCGGTTCCTATTGCTCGCTACTGTTTCATAGAATTGTCTAATCTAGCAGAAAGTGTGAACGGGAAGAAATATGAAATACAACTCTTTCTGCGAATACGAAACCACAGATTTAGAAATGAGGAGAAAAGTTATGTTTTGAGTACGATCGTACAAGATTCTGCAATAAAAGATGTGTATCATTTGAATGCACCCCTAAGGCACTGCCAGTCGTCCTACATCTATGTGCGAGCTTCCACGATCGCAATACTATACAAACTGAACCATGTAAGTCTAACATGTGACCTACAATACAGAATACAAGTTCTGGACAGAAAAAAATTCTGTCCAGAACTTGCAGGTTCTTCAAATCAGAACAGAAGAACGAAAGCAGCCAAGGTCATAGATTCGTTGAGTCTATCAGTCAGGTGCGTGCGCTGCCCAGAATGCTAAAGGCCATCTCAGACATCTAACATTCTTATCACCGATAGTTCCTCTAACCGCCAACCACAGTCCTCGCGTAGATAATCAGGAGGCTGAGTTCTCGTTCTCCAACGGGATCATGTAGATTTATCACAAGATCAAAACATCAGCAAAGAACGGGCTTTGTGTATAAAAAAGTACAATATAGCCCTCACTATGTCAATTGTAATCGTTTGAACGTAGTAATATTCGCGTTGTGGAGTCACATCAAGCCGCAGTTGTTTTCCTGATCAGATTATGATTGAAGCTTATTGTAAGCTTATGATGGATCCTGCCAGTTCAGCCACTGGAACGTCCTCCAACACAATGTAGTGGGGCCGGTATCCTTTGTCCGAAACCGCGCAGTGCTCCGAATGTAGCTGATTACCGTACGAAACGCAGCGATCCTTTTCAAACTGACCATCTCCGAAATAACTGTCATCTTTGCCCTCAAAGTAGAACCTAACCATCATGTCACCCTTGTGCACACCTTTCCGGAAGATAGGAAGCCACAGAAATCCAGTTCCATATGGGTACCGCGCAATAAATTCTGGCAGGTTTTCTATGCTGCAGAACGAGAATATATTCATCAAAATCCATGCACAAAAGGAAATAATCATCTGATGTTTGCATTTAGAGACACCGTACAGTGGCACAATTGGTAGTAATCGTGTGCTCTTGCGCTGATTGGGGTAGAGTCAAGCAGTCAGGGTATAATCAGGTGTGTTTATCGAATTCAAGGATGATTTGGGCAAAGCTGGTGAGTATACCTGACACGGCCAAGCTGGTTGTCTTTCCTGCTGCGGTGATAGTTCCAAATCTCGAAGTGTACAAAAGTGGGCAGCATCGATGCGTTATGAAAGTTACAAACGAACCTTTGGTTCCATATGGGACTTGATCCTGCTCCTGCATGCAGATCTCTCAGCGTCCACATCACTTCAAGATGGAAAATGAACTAGCAGCAGCTTCTATTGAAATCCTATAATGCTGAAATATATCAAAAGCCGTCTTACCGAAAGAAATGCTACTAGTTGATATTAGTAACTGAAAATAGATTGGAATTCCTTTGATTTTGGACTTGAATCGAACTTATGATTCGAGATCTGTCTCTCGATTACATGATCAAGATCGCGACGTTACATTATTCTAGTAGATATCCATCCTTGTTCCAATCCAATCAGCTGAACTGAAGAATCGCAGTCTGAGTTCATTTGCAATTGATGCCTTCTCTACTTAACAAAATGCGTTTCCTCGTACCTTCGTGAGGAGATGATGTGAGGGTTTTCTTGTCGACACCATAGATCATCTGCACGTAAGGAGAAGCCTTACCTGCACAGTTACAAACACTTGAAGTGTAAATTGATCACGGCTCACGATCTTAACGCTGGCAATATTCCGTCCGATGATCCTACATTGATCAAAACATCAATTTGACTTCGTGATAATGAGTTCATGTTTATTTTGCTATTCTCTGCCACATATCGATAGCTTGGGCTCACTGTAGTTCGTTTTAGTTCGTCCGTTGAGGTGCTCACCATAACCGCATATCTTATCTCCTTTTATATCTGTAGCCATTTGCACATCCACCTGCATCACTCCACGCCGGAAACCCCTTGGGGTATTATACATGGGCACCTTAGGGTCATAACCGTGGTATGTAGCCATTCCAATCGAGAAAATGTATCAGAATTTTTCTCAATTGAAGCTCCTAAAAGTCTCTCCTTCGCTTCTTCATGAAACAGCAGCCATATGGATACCGGAGAAGTCCCAAACCAGTCTCTTCAGTTGAGTCAGAACCAGACCTCTGCTATCGAATGAAGTAACATAAGTATAAAGATCTTCTCTTAATTTCTTTATATTATTTTGAACCAGAGACGTGGCCGGACGATCGAAGAATATAACGATACTCGAGCTTACGTACCGTACAAGCGGTCATCGATCGAGATGGGAAGGTGGGATGACCTAAGCTTATCCAAGTTTTGGCCATAACATCGAACTCAACCAACTGGTCTTGCCATTGCCAGTCTTGACTTTTGTGACCCTTCTTGCGAGATTCCAGGACATAAATCTACAAAAACATGAAACAGGAAGACCTTTTACTCTGCCGGTGAGGTGCATAGGCACACAACATTCTGAAAAGGTTCTTGCCATGTGATATTTTAGGGAAAGAAACCCCTCCCCAGTTGGCCTCTGCATTCTGCAGAACCTAAACGGTAAAAGCAAACTGACAAGTTTGTGAACTTACTTCGTTTTCAGATTTCAGGTGCTTCATTTCATTGAAGCAGCACATAAGTTTGTTTATATTTCCACTGATGCCTACAAGACTAAATACTATAGATAGATTTGGAACACCATGGATAGAGCGCCCCGCCTACTGTAAATTGTACATTTGACGGTGCCTCCGGACTGTTCCAACACAATTCTCAAAGGTAGTACATACTCCCACTTAAGACATTTACTAACCGTGGTGATTTGGGAAACATGTGTGAATTTCACTTTCGAGGGCCCGCTTCAGTTGCAACAGGCCGAGCAACTCGTCTGTGAAGAAGCCACTTTGCGCATGTCCTGGAAGGCACACCGTCTTTTCAGAGGTGGGCCCCACTGCAGGAAACTTCCTGTCGGGGGTCGACCAACCACTTCATGTGTTCCAGAGAATCAGAATGTCAAACGCTAAAACCTTCATGACTCGCTAGGCTGCGGGAATTCGAGCCCAGCGGCATGAACTTCCAGGGAGCAAGACGATCGAGTCCGCCAGGTAGAATCCACGACCAGGGTTCATCCAGCGTCGATGCCTGCGCTTATTCGACCCCCATCGCATTATGATGTACTGCCGGAGACCTCCTCTGACCAGGAGGATGGTCTCAATTGTCAAACTGCGTAAAGGTGGTCGATTGGATATGTTCAGCGTATTCATAATGAAATTGTTCAGGTGAAAAACATTCATCTCGTCTGTAAAACTAGTGTGTTCTTTACTAGTGGGATGACATTCGTGTGAATGGCATGCTTTAATGACAGTGGTAAACACTGCATGATATATGGATTGGCTCACCAAGGACGGGCCTCCACCAGTACATTATGTCAATTGAATGTTCTCCAGCCTTTCTAAAAAACTCTCAAAGTCCATACTTTCGCTAGCTAATGATTTTACTTACACACACATCGTTAAATGCTAAATTTGTATCCAGACCAATTGAGTACAAGTAATTGAGAATAGTTCTGTATGACCTGAATGGAGTTGTGTCAAGCATAAACATTGTTTGGAAATGAATCGATTGAGAACTCAAATACCCTTTTATTTGAAAATTTTTTGCGATGAACTTTCTAATGTTGCAAAGAAGGATAGGTTGTAGTGGTTATGTTCCCAAAAGGCTCAATATTATTTCATCACTAAATCTGGAGCATAGTACTTGTTTTTGCAGTTTTCAGTCTGGGTGATTTGATTGAAATTTGTTATTTTTTGGCAGAAAGATACTATGATTTTGACTGTAGATAGTGCATTCAATTAAATATGTATTTCTACGAGATCCATCACAGAGGAAACAATTTTACGGTTATTTTTGTAAATTATATCTTGGTGAGTCTAAGTGATATTTTTTGATTCCGATGAAGAATGTTCATATGTTCTAATGTTCATATTCGTAGTTGACACAACAAAGAAATGTATTTCCAGGAGATCCGTCACAAATGAGTAATTTTGCAGTTTTAGTGTCTCGTTGACTCTAAGCGAGATTGTTTGTTTTTGAAGTAAGAACTGTTTTCGAACTGTAATGTCTGTAAAATTAGTTGATTGTATTCCTCGTGTATGCGAAGGTTACTATCTTATGAAAGCAGTTTTCACATCTGCAACTTCAACTAAATATTTTTGATGTCGAGAAAACAGCAATGAATACATGCATATTTCACTTCAATAAAAATATATAATCATAAAATCAATCACAATGAAGCCTCTTTTCATGGTTGAATTTTGGCTATCTGAGTTTGTTTCATGTTGCGATGCAACTGTTTATAGTTCAATATCATAGTTATATTAAAAAAATATCAAATTTTATTTTAACCGCTTTTCAGTTTTGAATTCTAACATTATCATAGTTGGTTATTTTTACAAGTTTATTAATAAAATGAAATGAAATTTCCACTGGTAAAAAATAATGAATTTGCACAATATATATCAATTATAAGATTGATACAAAATTTATTATTCAATTTATAATTTCTAAAAATTGATAAATGATGAAAAAGATATTATTGACTGCAAAGCTTATATATAAGATACTTTTCTTTATAAACGTGAATATTCACGTTCCATGTTTTCAATTCACTATTTTGATTGAAAAATAATTCTCATCATATTGAGAATTTTTGAGCAGATTTCAAATTTTGAATTTGAATGATGTTGAAGATTGTAATTTGCATCAATATAGATGGAACTTCTTATTCATATCAAATGTTTATATTGTCTAGAGTGTGTAACTCAATCATTGTTGACTAAAATCACTTATAAGCAAAACTAGCAGCAAGTTTTACATCTCATTAAAGATATTGCTGTATTCCATAAAAAAATTTGATACCTTTATTCTGTACTACTTTCAACTATTATTTCATGTCATTCTGAGACAATAAGAAAATATAAATAAATGACATTAATTTAATTGATAATTTAATTGATTGCATGATAAATATAGTTTCAAATGATTATGTGTAATTTTTTAGCTTATCACAGTCATTATGAGCAAATAACACTAGAAAAAATACTGATCTTCTTTAACCTCATCATCTACAGTCCACATGAGAATTCTTATTTCTCTTCTCTCTCTTCATAGTGAGCTCAACCTCATGTACCCTTTCCTCAAACTAACTCTCAAATTTCGACTATTTTGTTTGAGGATCAGCATATAGCAACAACCTAAGCAGCAGCAGCAGCTTTATTTCGGAACCCATTTTGAGCATGGATGGGGTCCATTATGAAATCCTAACATTGCCCTTTTACCGAAAATCATGACTACAGAGTTCATTTCGAAACATCTGCTAGACACAGAAGGTGCAGCAAGTATACTAAACCTTAAATCATTAAACACTAAATAGTGTGTTTGAGTAGACTCCATCTCCAGTAATATGTAACATACCAGTTCACATTAAGTCTCCTCATCAAGAGTGTAAATCTGCTGACTGTTACATGGTAGATGTGACGCATCGAAGGCTTCGTCATATGTGGCAACTTCGTAGTACACCTATATCTACGCCATATAAACAGTGTGGCATCGGGTGATGTGCTCCCTGCAATTACTTACCAGGTCTCTGAGTAGCGTTTGAGGTTTACGTGGTTGAGAGGTTATGACCTGTAATGAAGCACAAGTAGTCCGTGGTGAGCTCATTTGCATGTACCAACTGCTTGATTCAGATATCATTGAGCTTCTAGTTCTACCCCGAAGATTTTCCCCATCTTTGTCTGCTCTGTTCTTCGATTGTGAACTTACTTTGTGGGATGTAATTTTACAACTAAAACTCGTCAGAAGCAATCACCTCTTCACTATGCGACAATGTGGGCCTCAATTATCACATGTCCAAGTTATAGTTTCCTGAGCAGCTACCGTGGCATACCTTGATCACTTAAAGATTATACATCCAATACATCTAATTAAGTGTTAATTAAGTTGAATGTCCTAGCGTTTGACCCACTTAGGCCCTCTTGGACTTCATCCACGGATTTACCATCTTCATGATTAAGAAGAATAAGATGGGGGATGCATGAGGCCCAAGAGCGCGCAGTTACCGTCCTTATGTAAACATTCACTCTTCTACTTAGCTTAAAGTCTTACTTAAGTTTGATATTTGCCCAAAGCTGTAACGATCAAGTCCTCGGATAATAATTTTGTTGCGGTCATTCTCTTTATGGATTAATGTTGAAATCCGCTCGTGCAAGCTTGTAGTGGTGAATTTACTTAAAATCCTCGCTTCATGTTTATATGCAGGCCATTATAATATCCGTGAACCCCCTTCGTCGAATGACTGAATGACGCAAATTGTGCACCAGGCCACTGAAGTCGTGATTGATCAACCACTCGTACGAGCTTCGTCCATCTGCACTGATTGGCTGCAAGTTGTACGCTAGTAGACTTTCTTGACCGATGGATAGATGTGCACATGCTGAGATTACAGAAGGCACCGGACTTGACATCGATCAGTTTTACGTGGCATACCATCGATCCGCGAAATTTCTCGAAAGCAATGACTGCGAATATGGTACAGGCTTTGTGAGAAGACTACCATGATCGGCCCCACATCATGCTTACCACAGTCAAATGGGTTCGAACGAACGAACCAGAACCACCCGTTCATAGCCTACGGCGACCTCATCTATAAGATAGACTCGCTTTAGAAACTGAGCTCCAGAACAGAATTCAATTACATTGATATCGATAAACAACATCGTAGATGCTATCACGGCAACGGAAAGGAGGTGGACTTCAAGTTTTGTCCGAGCTTGAGTATTTCGCTTGATCCTTGTTGATCAGCTGGTCGGTGGAGCACGAACCAGAGCTTACAATGTTTTTGCGGCTGGGGAGTCGCAGAGCTGTACTAATGATGAGATGGTTAAGTTAGTCTTCCTGCATGTTATGGAGAATTACAGACTCTATTTTCTGACCGAAATTCGTCCAAATCAAGGACAGTGTTGTGAAACTTGCTGACTCACAGTACCAGTTGTCATCCTAGAAAGGCAGTGCAACAAATAGTGTATCAGTGCGTTATCCTTGACACTGATTATTCTAGAAACTGGCTTGGGATTTTCCATAAAGAAACTATTAAACTGAGATTCGATAGTGTGACATGGTTGTTTATTTTGTTTCTATTGCACTGCGACTCCCTGATTTTTTTCAGTCCCCAATTTTACCATCCCTTTGATCTAATGAACGTCTCAGCCACTCAATAACTCTTCTCGGACATCTAAGACTAGTTACTTGTACCAACCAAAAGAATGAATCTGATTTCCGAAGCAATTCTCAACAACTGGGGGAAAGAAAGCTTTCAGGTCGTTCACTTTCGACGCGTGAGTTTGGTCGGCATATTTCGGGATCCAGCAAATTCTTCTGTCAACTTGCCTCATATTCTTCATTTTTTCAAGAAACTTGATCACAATGAGAAGGAAACTGAAGAAGGTGACTGCTCAAGTTTTGCTATCGTCGCATGTGCAGTTACTTAAACCTACTGTTTGCAGTACGTACAGCCGAAAGTTTCTCAACAATCCTGACTCCTATGCCGATATAGAAATGACTCTTACAAATCATTCCGGTGGTGAGTTCTTGCTCTTAGACTAACTCACTGTAGCGTACTATCCAGGGCTGCCTAAAACTACATTTGTCATCGCTGTTCTCAAGGTTCTTTCGGAATCCATTGTAGCGCTAGTGAATTTGGCTTTTACATAATTGAATTCTAGGAGTGGTGATCCAATTCTACCAGTAATTGTTGTAGAGGCTGCACATATTGACTGCATCGAAATGGACATGGGCTTCGAGACGCTCTTATGCTGACGGATAAAAATACTGTTATTAATCTATCGGCTGTTTAGTATCCACCAAAATGCGTCCTATTTTGAGTGGATGTTGATATCCCTAAGCCATTCTATCTCTCTGCATCTCTCTCGTGTCCAAATGTGCTGGGGCAAACCTACGGAGCTCACGGTCAGAATTGATACAGCTTATCCAGAGAGTTAAACAAAGGAGAAGAAGAGATAATTAGTAATTCTGTATGTACAACGAAGTTCTGCGGGGAAATGACATCCTTAACACCCGAACATCAAACCAGGTTATCGAAAGCATGCGACCACTCGTCTGGAGAAGACGTCTTGAGCGGTGAGGGAGAAAAACGAAGGCAATAAGAGAAGGCAGAATAAAGGACACCGTTGTGGCACTCATGTATCGCCTATACTTTTTCAGACGAGCAAGAGTAGCGTAGCCGGCTGCTATAACTGCCAAAGATGGCAGAAAGCGCTGGAGAACCCTGATGCAATGCGAAGACACGGCCGAATCCTCTTGAGCTCTATGCCGGTGAACCGCTCTTGAGCATCACAGATGTGGAGGAATCACAGTCGCAATGCAAAAACGAATAGTAGTCACTGACATTAAGAAGGCCTCAGACTTGAATATTTGAATCACTTGCATAGCTTCCCAATTAACAAAAGCCGTGGTTACTAAGAAAGATCCAGGTGCAGCTGGAGCAGGCGCAGAATTACTGGTTATTCTTCCTGTTTCAGAAAATTCGACCCAACCCATGGGAGGATGAAGCCAACCTGTGTGCTAGATTCTTGCTGTTAAAGCTGCGCCTAAGAAAAGAGCAATTTAGGTGTCTGTCGATAAAATTTACCTTCAGGGGATGACAAAAATAAAACAGAGTGTAAGCAGAACACTACTTCACAACATGTGTCACTGTCATGCTGTCAACTGCAAGACATTGAGCCCTTCTGAGACGGGTAACAGCAATTGACATGCTCAGTAAGCCACTCCACTTCTTCAGACACACCTCCGAGTTCCTCCACCGCCGAAATTGCTGTGCTTCTCTGAGAATATCTCGTCGATATGTCGACATTGAGCGCTCAAGTAGCTTCATAAAGGTACCCAGATGTCTCTCTCTCCAACAGATGTCAACAGAGATGTTTGTCCGTGACCGTCCTTCGCGTGAACTTCAACATCTGAATCAGGAGCCAGCAGGAGATCCATCAAGTGGTAATTCCCTTTGGCTACCGCATCCATCAGTAGTGAGCTCTGGTCAGGATCCATAAGAGGAACAATATCGAGCTCAATTTGCACAAGACCATGAATCTTTCTGGTATCATGATCTACAACCTCCAGCAGAAGGTCATCGCTCAGCGTTCTGTTCCTTCCCTAACCTTATTCTTTTCTTCGGTAGGCTGGCGAGATTCTCCTGCATCGGAGTTAGAACTGGCATAAGAGATGAAGGGCCTGAGGGCCACATAACCTCCATCCGAACAAATTTCACTCTGATCTTCAAAATAAAGAGGACTACTCTATCTAATCACATAAAAATAAATCCTAACGAGTAATAGTCCAAATCGTGTCACAATGTGAATCATGTAATGCTTCATTTAAAATTTCCCAAGTATCTCGCTCAATAGTAAGCACCTGATGTTCTTTTTCTCCAGCGGATTTCACAAGACAACTATTTCAGAAAATTTGATAAAGTAAGTGATAAGGATGTCACTTTCTATTTGTAGTATAACTGTCATGATTCTCGTGTGAGATGCAACTCTCTTGACTTATAAATCACGGGTTTGAAGTTACTATAATCCATAAAGGAATTGTATCACCATACGAATATCATCATGTCTAAACGTTGGAGTGCGAAATGTGACTTAAGCTTAAAAAAAATTCTGTTTTAACAACCTTGGTAGGATCTCAAGATACTATCTTATGCCTTTCTTTTTACACCTAAAATCTATTATAACACGATGTGATATTCTTAGTCATTAAAATCATCACACGTATCAATTTTCAATGTAGTTGATTCAACCTTCTTAGTGAAATTTTTCATCATCGAGTTTACAACTATTTTTTTCAAGAAAGAAGAAGAAATTATAATTTGCAAAAATATATCAAATTTTTTACAGTTAATGGTATATTGTACTGTAGACTCTGTATAGAAATTTCATATTATCAATTATCAACAAAAACTTTAGTAAGATGTAGAAAAATAAACGAGGACTTAATAATATGGCTGTTGGATCACATCTTTCGAAAACCTAATATGTTTTCAATTCATGTTCGGATACAAATAAAGTCAAAATATCATTTTTCAGTTTCAAATCAAGTCAGTACTTATTCAACACATTCAAATGCATACATTCTTCAAGTGCCTTGTACTTATCATTGTAAAATTTTTAATACTCTTTTGGATATGCATATCTCCCCGTGAATGACATCAAAACTATCTTATATCTCAAATCTGTAAAGCTTGCACTTATTGAAAATTATCGGTTCAATTCCATCATCCATGAGGATTGAAATTATAATTTTGTTCTTGTTATCATCAAATTTAATTATTATTGACTGATAATCTTTATTGAGATTGAATTTTTTCTAATATTAGATTATATGTCATTTAATAATCATACAAAAAATATGAAATTCGAACACAAAAAATAAAATTAGAGGAATAACTATTAAAATTTTCTATTTTTTATAAGTGAATATATATGTGGTTTAAAAGCAAAGGAACCCAAGTTATAGGAATTAATAAGGGAAGAGCAAGACAAAGAAAACTGGAACTTGTGAACATTGGGACAATTAAGACGTTGAAGAATACTATGTTCTAATGTAAAAATGTTCCTATATCGTGTGCTACAATCGCCAACCCGATTCGTGACACTGTTTCACGAGGCAGAGTTAAATAGTAAAGCGCAAATTTCAGTCGATACGAAGGTGCAGAGCACAGATTAGATTTCAGGACTCGGAGAGTAGGGTTTGGTGAGAATTTTGATTGTCGTAATTGGAATCAAGCCCATCAGCTCATCATGAGTCTTGAGAAGGAGATTTTGAAGACCGGAAACGGAATCACGCCACGCGCTGGGCAGTATGTGACTGTGCACTGCACAGGCTACGGGAAGAATCGCGACCTGTCGAAGAAGTTTTGGAGCACCAAGGATCCGGGGCAACAGACGTTCAAGTTTTGCATCGGTCAGAAGAGTGTGATTGCCGGATGGGACGAAGGAGTGATGGGCATGTCAATCGGAGAGATCGCGAGGTTGAAGTGCCCGCCCAGATACGCCTACGGTGCTTCGGGATTTCCTGCCTGGGGTATCGAGCCCAATTCAGTCCTTGTTTTCGAGATTGAGCTGCTGGAGATCACCGACCGCTGATGATAGACAGCTCGGGAGGAATTGCTAAGTTTCTTCTCGCTTCCTGAAGCATCAACCGTTCTGGCGGTCAGAAGTTGCCGTCTACGGTGCTGCCTTCGGTGCTCCACGAAGATACGGACGTTCCACACGTCTGAGAAATCAGGATCATGTTGTTGAGAAATTAGGGCAATTGCCGAACCATTTGTGGAGATTGCCACACGCCACGCGTACTGATTTCTCATGTCACTGTTCTCATGATGAATAAGATCACGGTTCCCTCGATCAGGTCGAGAGCATCCGCTCCTCTTCATAGCATGGGATGATTGACCGTATTCGCCCTGTGATCTTTGTCCCTTTGACCGTGAATTGTTGATTTGATTTTATAATATGAGCGATCGCTCGTGGATTTGCCTGCTGCACCAACTCTTTGCAACTGAGGCTTCAGATTTCGGACCGTCTTTGGAAGTAGTAGTTGTATCCTCAGATTTAGCGATTCGACCGCGTTTCTTTGAGGGTGAAGTTACCTTCCACGGAACCGGTAATCAGTCACAAATCACCTGGGAACGGTTGAGCTGCAACGTCAGTTAAACAATAACAAAGTCGGTCATTTGTTTTTGTGCGTTCCCCTTGATTAGAGTCTGCGACGACCTTTCTTACACAGTGTTATCTCGTCGTGCTAGTCGACGAGTGTGGTGACGATCGGAGTCTCTCTGCCACTGCTCCAATAAAAAGCCCTGTTTTGAGATGTCAGAGACGGAGACAGATACAGAGACCGATGCTACAACAGAAGCAGGGGAGGAGGAAGAGAAAGTCCCGGTTGTATGTTTCTTACCTTACGATCAATAGGTTGGGTCGCATGAGCATTGTCATGACAGACTACTGATCTTCTGCATACATGCGATGTTACCTGGGCTTTATGGTGTTTCTGATTTTGCGAGTGTAAGTAGAGGGTTCGGGCTCTTTAAGTGTGGAAAATAAAAGCTCGATCCTCCCTGTCCTCGTTGTGGATCGGATCTAGTTTCACAGCAAAGTGCTCTTTCACGGCTGTCATCGACTACCTTCGAATAATTTGACCTCTATTCCTTCACTCGTCCTTGCTCTTGCCCACAGTATGTGTGAAATTCACCAGAGCGAAATTCTTGTCGATTCTTCTCCTGGCCTACATTCTGACCATTTGTCCACTGATTCCAGTGAGTAATCTGACCACATGAGTTGCATATTGTTGCACAAAATCGTACTCTCAGACCTGGGAAGGAGAATTGAAGGATGGATGGATTCCAGACAAAGTAGGATTAGCCACCTTTCCCAATGGCGACACTTATCAAGGGAATTATGAGAATGGCAAGAAAAATGGGCATGGCAAGTACACCTTCGCCAAGGGAGCGGTTTACGAGGGCCAGTATTCCAACGACCGAAGAAATGGTCACGGTTTTATGAAGTATCCAGATAAAAGCACCTACTCAGGTGGCCAAATAATCTCAGAATTCATGAACTCGATTGAATACTAAGATCGCAAAATGAGTTTAGTGTCGTCCAGGTTGATGTTTCAAATTAGGAGCAGCATATACAGCCTCTCTCTTACGCTGGCCAACAACAAACGGATAACTCGTAATCGCAGGCGCATGGTTTAGAGGGCTAAAGCATGGCCAAGGAGTATACACCTACGCAAACGGGGATCGATATCAGGGAGACTGGCGGTACGATCTTAGACATGGGCAGGGTACTTACTACTTTACTGAAAGTATGAGCTCGGTATGTAATTTGGACTCAATGCCTTCGCACACCAACTGTACCACATATAGTTTCGGAACACCTAAAGAATATTGTGAATTTTATCTGATCGATGGAATCTCATGCTGTTCAGCCTGATTCAATGTGTTTCTCAGACTTTTCAGCCTCGATAAATACCACGGGAGAAGCTTTTTACTTATTGCAGAGTAGATCTGTACCCTATTTACGTAGATGTAGCACTCTTTAAAACTGACAATTAGATCCTCGCACTGGACGCGTCCTGTGACCGATCTGTTTTGTTCTGGACGTCGAGAGAAAACGTCTCAAAAGCTGATTACATCTGTGCAAGGTGATGTGTGTAAACGCTACGTTGTTGCCACAGGAGCAACGTATACGAACCGACCTCAAAAAGTGGGGAAGGGAAAGGACAGTAAATAAAGCCTGAAGTGAGGATTGTTGAAAATCGTATTGAGTGATTTGCAAATGCTCACCAAGTTCACGAATCTTCACGACTGTACTTACTATATGTTCAGAGCTAGATAAGTCAGAGAGATCAGTTTACAAGACGACCCTGAGAGAGGAGCAAGATTCGGTCAAGTGGCCTTTTCTAGGCAATTTCTGTCAGGCTCTCGGCTTTCCACAAGGATCAATCTTGTACTTTTGGGGTCGTAAAAAAGGCATGTCGGAAAGCCATTAGGATATGGATGACAACAGTACATGTAGATTACAATGGCTCTGACGGGATACAATGATGGCATTTGACTGTATGCAGTACGTAGGAACATGGGAGTTCGGCCACTTCGTCTTGGGAGAATGGGTGTGGAGAGACGGAAATAAATACGAAGGTACATTCTACAAAGAGAAGCCAATAGGTCGAGGACGATACAGGTTCAGGAGCACGAACAACGAGTACATTGGAAACTTCGAGAGGACAGAGATTCCTAAAAGCTTGGATGCCAATGCACCCGTGGAGGTCAAATTGGTGTTCAGAGATGCTCGCTTGCGCTCTCTGCGCGCTTGAGTCTAGCTTCCTGACCACACATTGTGCGAATCAGCTCTAAATAGCTACCTATTGAAACATTTGACTTGAACTCGGAATAAAAATGTTAAAAAATTGGACATATGATCCCGTCGCATGTCAATTTGCTCTAGCAAGCCCACACAGAAACACTGAAATCTATCACATCCATACGCCATACGTCTCTAGTATCGGAAGGCAAGAAAATCTCTCTGGGTTGCGAGTTACAAGCAAGGTATATAATATTGTGTCAGCGGAACTGGGCCATTATTTTGTTGCAGTGAGGATCCTCGCTGCGAGGCAGATTACAAGAACTACGCGATTAACCCGGCCCTGTTAAAGTGAAGAATTTCGAATGTTGTCCGCGATCAATCGGATTAATCACGGCCGAAATCCAAGCTCGCAGCCCCTTGGTTTCAGAAAATCTGTGCCGCAGTCACATTCGTCGTGCGTGCGTGCGTGCTTCATCGTTCTTTGTAGAATGGCCGGTCTGGGTCAGCCAAGGCGCCCTGACAATTAGAGAAGTAACAATTACAGAGAGAGTCAGTACGGTTCAGTGGACGAATATATTTTCAAGAACTGATTTCGAACTCACCAAGAAAACGTTCCAGTTCAAATTCCGAGCCTGGAGATGAAGCGCGGACTCAGGCCACAAGATGACAAAACCTAATCCGCACCTCGTCGAGAGTTCTGAGCGTTCGAAATTCGAAACTCGTTCGTATCGGGGCCTTCATTTCCTGCTCATCCTTCTGGAAGAACAGTCGGAGCAGTCGGTCCCTGCTCTCCTGCGGGTGATCGGTGAAGAAGCTCGGGGAGACGCTCTTGATTTGCGTTGGTTGAGCTGAGACTTGACAACCGGGCGTGATTTTGGCCGAATTTGGAGTGGTGTGGATGAACGAGAAGCTACTATGTTCAAGAATTGCCTGCCCAATCTGGCAGATGTTCCGTCGGTTCTTTTACAAGAGCGTTCGACATCAGAAATCTTGAGCAGATTATGAAGACCACAGTGACGCTCGTTCTTCATTCTGGTCGTGCTTGATGATCATCCCTGTGGATAACTTATCTAAGCATGATCTGAGTTGTCATGCTCTGCCACATGATATATTCACATGGGTTTTAAGGGCCAACTCTCGATTCTTTTAGCAGGTGGAGTCGCAGTACTTTCTTGTGGAGCTGTAGTATCTCGGTCTGACTTTCCTCATAAATATATGAACTGGACATTTCATGTGGTTGACGTAAGGGAGTGAGTGATATTTTGTACCAGCTGCCAGAAATGAGCTGATCATACTCAACTAAACCCTGATCGACCCTGAGGAAACTTGAAGGGAGCATCGTCTCTGGTACTAATGTTCTTTCTCCTGATAAAAAGGGTCATGAGAGAAGATGGCAGTAGGAGCATTCGTGACTGTTCTGGAGGCAGACAAATTGAACTCACTGTTGAGACAAAGTCTCGACTCGACTCGGCTGATGGAATCCGCAGACAAAGAGCAAGAGAGCAAAGAATATTCAAAGTCAAGCGCAGATACACCAGGCATACATGGTATTCATACTCAGAGTTTCTTAATCACATTCAGATCGTTCAGGGAGTGTAGGTCTCCAGGTTAAGAAGCTTAGCGCATATAACATGCGGTCACATCGACGCCAAAACTTCAGTTGCTAACCATTTGGAGTCGATTTCTGAAGGATTCCATCCCGTACCGCCTCACATCATCTCGTCTGTCTGCAGATAACGAAATCAAGGAGATACATTTTCTGGGAGCGGGATTAAAATCTCTTCGCGACGTTGCTGGTTTATCTTCATTTCGCAATTTACAGTACCTCAGCCTTCACGATAACAATATAGATCGCATAGAATGTTTGGAAACTCTCGATTCATTGCGAGAGTTAAATCTTTCATCCAACACAATTAAAGAGATGGAAGGTCTTTCGACGTTGTCTCAATTACAGGTTCTCAATCTGTCCTGCAACCAAATCGAAGAAATACGAGATCTCCAGGGTCTGCGGGCCTTGAAAACGTTGGTCTTGTCACATAATCACGTCAAATCACTTTCCGGCCTGTCTGCTCTCAATGGACCGAGGTAATCAGTACTCTGACGCTTCACAGACTCAGGTTTCTTTGCTCTGAGCTGATGACAACAGAGTCCTTCCACACTCATCTCAAGAAAATACACACAGAAAAATTCCCGATAAAATTCTTCGTTAAACACACTGATTCTGGACGAAAGCCAATCAAGATATAAGTTTTGAAGGACACAGATGGTCGGTAGTGCCCAATGTGCCCTCCTCTTCTCAAATGAAGAGCTCAGGATAAAAAGACAGGGACAAAGCAGATAACTTTAAAAGGGGGTTTAGTTTTATAGCTACTTGGAATACTGCAACTGAAGAATTTTGCCGCAGTTCGTGTCTAGAGCTCTCATTACGTTCACACCTTCGCTATGGGCCGGTCAATTTCTAGAAAATCTGATACATGCTCCTTCATAATTGTGCAGATACTCCCTACGTGTTTTGGATCTCCGTGACAACAGGGTGGAGTCTCTATCAGAACTTACCGTCCTTGCTGGCTGCCTATACCTGAAGGAGCTCGTATTTTCACGGGGAAATCACACCAACCCGGTTTGTTATGCTCCCGCTTATAAAAGTTCGGTGATTGCTGCCACACCACATCTCTACAAGTTAGATGGTGAAATACTGTCAGGGCCGGTGCCGGCTAAATTGTCTCGAAATTTATCTCAATTTGGAGGTGAATTTCAAACTTACTTGTCTGCAACAGTACCATCATGGGTTTTGCAGAATTCTTCTCATGGGAAGTCACTCCCAGGATATGAAGATGGTGAAAGCAGATATCTTCCTCCTTACATCCAATTCAGCGAGTCTCAACAAGAAAAGGCTCTCTTTACATCGCGTTCACAGGTGTCAATCCGTTCGAAACAACCCCATGTAGAAAATACACGCGAAGATGACTCACAGAGGAGGCCATGTCATCCCAATCCAGCTCACATCGATGTTTCAGCCGGTGAATATTGTACGAAATCACAGCCTACAAGGCATACTAGTTGTCAGCAGAATTCAACACGGAATCTTCCTCCCGAGTCCAAATCCGCAGGATTACAACAGGCACAAGAGGCCTCCCCCGTCCAAAGTGATTACATGCATGCTTCGAATCGGGCCGATCAGCCTAGCTCCGACACTCTTCTTAGACATCCTCCTAATCTCTCTGAGTTTGACGTCCGTGGCTTGAATGAAGATTCAGACCAAGATTTCTTTGAAGCTGAAGGGGACCTTGAAATAGGGAAATTGTCAAGCATTACGAGACCCGTGTTGCCTGCTGCAGAACATTCTAAGAACGGGTTCTACAGGAGAAGGTGGCCACGGGCGAACTCTATCATTCCACTGGCTCGACGTAAGAATCTTGACGTCCCAAAGGTTTGTGATGGTGATCCCTTAGAGGTTCTTGAACAGCGTATCCTACATCTAGTGCATAAATTAGCTCTTGCCAAGAAGGATGCAAAGTGGCGTTTACAAGCACCTCGTGCCGAGTCCCCCGAGGCGTGTGATGATGAGAATTTCAAATTCCACAAGAGTAAACTTTGCGACGGTACTACTTGTCGTTCAACAAGGACGGGCAAGGAAGTCTGCTCTCCGTGTCCAGATAAAGGCGAAGAATCCAACAGCAGTGATACTTCCGACACCCGGGATCTCAGAGCAGAGAGTACTAGCAGGCAAGGTGTGTGTAGGTGTAACGAGAAAAGTGGCAGATCTGAATCAAGAAGCTCCATTCGGCGATGGATGATTTTGGTCAAAAATTGGATAACAAGGATGGTAAGTCTCGGGATTTGAATTCAGGTCTTGGAAATATTACTTTCCACTTCTTCACGTTTAACCTCGTAAAGAGTTCATGCTTGGCGACATATGATGACTAATATTATAAACGATTTTGCCTTTCAGTTTTGAGTGTCTCAGGATTTTGATCTGTCTTTTCACCGCTCTTTGTGTTCACCAGATTAAATGTTTGAAATTGTAGAAACTAAAGCTACCACTGATTCCTGCTAGAACCTAACGAAGTCAGACATCGAATCAGTAAGTGAAGGGCAAGGATCTGAACTTGAAAAGGTTCTCCGATTGTTGAACAAGGAGGTGAGTCATGCTTCTGTGCTATGTTGAAATCTGATGAAGTGATGCATTTATGTTAAAGCCATCAACCGATGGCAAAGACATGAGAGTCGGTAGCAAAAAACTGAAGTGGTATTACTTGGTTATACCAATTTTATGACTTAAACAATGGTCAGCGCAATGTTCTTATCTTCAATCATCTTCTCTAAATATTTATCTATTGTTCAAGTATTGGACGTGTATTTCCTGCAAGAGCGAACATGTCTTTAGAATGAGAACAAAATTCTCTCCTAAACAAATACGGCCAGTACACACTGGCCGTATTGTTTTGTCTGTACACAGTTTCGAAGCGATTTAGTAATTTCTTTTTTTTTTCTTTACATTTGTAAAGAGCATTGGTTACTTGTCTGCCACATGAACAAGATATGTGCACAGTGTATCTGCAGGTAAAGCACCTTCATGAGGCGGTGGCATCTTTCAATTCCGGGCCAAAATCAGAAGAAAGTCCGAAACAATCGGAGGAGAACGCTGAGGCTATGAGCAAGTCCAGACATGATGAGGTTGATACAAAAGACTCTGAACTCGTTTCTGAAAAGAGCTCACGAGAAGATCAGCTTGCAGAAGCCAGAAGTATATTTCTCGAAGAGAAGAGAGATATGAAGAAGCTACTTGACACAAAAGAGAAAGCACTTCATGACCTCGAAAACCAAATTAAGGTATAATCTGCCCGCTTGATGCTTGAATACATTTAGCTGTCTTTAGTTAGCTTCAGAAGAAGATAGAAAAGGCCACATTTGTGTCTCAAACCTCAGTTTGAAGGCTGCACTACTCGCAAACAACCTGCAGTATGCCAAAACATAAGGAAGGAGACTTCATTCGTCCCGAACAATTGCTGTAGGCACGATTGACATATGGCTGTGGTTAGCTACAAGAAAGACACAGGTCCGTGACTTTCTAGCAATGTAGAACAAGAAGATATATGGTCAAGAGACCAGATTGTGAGTTTTAAGCCGGTGTGCAAGCTACAATATGTCTTCAGCTCAAATTGTAATTGTTGTCACCAACGACAATCCACAGCTTACTCCGGATACTGTGGGAAAATGATCATAAACTGTTTCTAGCGGGATGGCTGTGCAGGTAAAGAATGAAAAAGTACAGGAGTTGCTAAGACAGGCAAAGCAAAATTTTACCAATCAAAGAGGAGATCCAGCTTTGTGCCCCGAGGACGACATTCTTCAGATAATCATTTCTCTTAAGAAAGAATTATCCTCTATGGAGAAATCTCTCCAGAACACTGCTGGTGCGGAGAAGGTAAAGTAAGGATCATGAGATGGCTTCACAATTGTCTTGGTTTTCTCTCAACATCACAACAATATACGAAACTCGTGATTGACACAAAAGTTCCTTTGCGTTTCAAACGCGTTTCTTGAAAGAGGCCCGATTTCAAGCGAGTTTCTCAGTCTAGTTAAGGACAAGCATTACCATTAAAACGTAAGATTTATAATGTTTGTTACATCAGCGGAAGCGTTCTAACATTCAAACTTTGATTACTCGTTACTTCTGGAACTCAGAGTGCAAAAGTTGCCCTCTTGAATGCTATTGCTGACAAGGAGAAGTCAAAGCACCTCGTGATATCCATGTACAAGGCGTTGGAAGAGGAGCGTGCCAACCTGAAATTGTGCAAGTCTGAGCTGGTACGGTAATATCTCCATGTCAGTCCCAGTCATCGAACAATCTGTCGTAGGTGCTGTGGGACATATTTCACATCACGATACTATTGAGGCTAGCCCCTGTTTTTCCGTTCGTTTTCTTTCTTGCACAGCTTGATGGCGTCTTCCCATCGTTAATGTTATCCATTTGGCCACCCTCTTATGACTATTTAAAAAAACAATCTGTCTAATCAGACAGATTGAAGAATGTATCAGTACAGGACTCCGTCTGTTGTTGACCGATCTTAATCTCGATGAACTGATTCAGAAGCTCTGTCAAAGGGTGAAGCATAAGAGGAGTATGAAATAAGCATTACCTGATGAACTCCGAGCTACGTCGTTGCCATGAATAATTGATGACGAAGCTGAATTGCATGGCTTGCCTATGCTCAGTAGGATACTTGCCAGCAATACTGCTTGAAAACAACGAAGGAGCAAGAGACTATTAAATCGGAACTTGAGAAGATGTTGGAAGAGAAGGAAAAGGAACTTACTCTATCTAAAGAGTAAGTTCTATAAAGACTCTCACATTCCCACTGAATAACAGAGGTTACAGACGTTGAATCGGTGACCCCAAGCTGTGTGTACTAACTAGCTGACAGAGCACAGAATGGAAGGTACAAAACGTCATAGAACTTGGTTGCTCTTCTTTGTAAACTGTTCACTACAGGACTGACTTGTTAAGCATGTGGTTGAAAAGTGCTCATTCATTTAATAGAAGAATGGGATTCGTCTCTATGCTAAATTTCTACATAATGTGGAACTAACTTGGTCTGCAGCGAAAAAACGTCTTGACGAAGTTGCTGGATGCTTGTTTAGGTTACATAAGCAGGAAATTGAAAGCATTCGTGCGATTAGTATGGAAATAGGAAAAAACCAGGGTCTCTCAATGGCAGAAGAATGTTCAGCACAGCTTCGACACAGCATGCGCGAGCAACTCTTAGACAAACAAAATGAACTCCATGAAGCTCAAAAAGGTACAATGCGTGAAGTTTCCCCATGAGTTCAATCTTAGAATAAAGTTTAACTACCACGAATTTTGGAGTGTTTTAACACAGTTGTGAAAGTAATGGAACAAAAGGAATCAGTCCTTCACGTATCGACTGAATCTTCCATATGCAAGCAGAGAACGTGAAAGTAAGGCAAGATATGGAATCTCTTCAAAAGGAACACCAGAAAGCAGTTGCAGAGCTCAACAACGTGATTCAAAACCTCCTCTTGAAGGTGATGTATTGGTCTTAGCCCCTAAGGTGGATACAAGCTTTGAAGGATTTTACATAGTAGAAAACGCGGGACCGATGAAGAACGGGACTTATTTTCTTATCGAGAAGGCACGGAACAGCCGTTCGCTAGCAGCAAAGGTTGCTGTGACTCCTTGACTTGACTTGGGAGCCTGAGGCCGGTGAGCGACGTCCAGTTTATCTGGACGCGCTCAAGATGACTTTCATCACTGTCATATAGTAGGGCCATTAGCACTCGTTCTTTTTATGCTCGGTAACTTCCACTTCGAATCTAATTTACTGCCAGAGATCACAACATTTATATTTTACACATTCACTTTGGCTCATTATCTCAGGAACAAAACAATAACGCGTCTATTTTAGAGCTCTCAGCCGTTGTGCAGTCTCAGGTAAATACTCCTTTCTTAAGCCATACCAAAACTCATTGTGGTGCAGACTTTGTTTCATGATGAGAAAGTGAATGTCTCCACATCATTCAAATTCAAATATCTCCACAGCCAGTTTTACGACTTGCTGTGGAAATATTTGAATGTCCTATGGGAGAAGATTCCAGTCTTTCAGCTGTGTAGAATATAAGTTTAAGTTTCTCTGAATCGTATGATATATAGTGTATTGATTTGTTTGCAGAAGGCCCAGATACAAGCTGTAAATTTTGATGTCGAAAAGTTAACCGCAGCAGAGAAGGTGTGTCATCTGCCTGTAAACGGACCGTTTTCGTGTTCCGTCATGCTTATGAGCCAGTAACTCTGGACGTTAGTGACCGTTGTTTCGGTCTCTCAAGCCTGTTTGGATGATTTTCTTTGTAGTGCTAAGATCTCACGTGTCTCATGACCCAGATTTGGATCCCTGTGGAATGATTGATTGGTCCTCCTTATATTCACTTAAAGAGATTATTAGTTTGCTTTTTTGGACATGTTTTGGCGTTAATTGTCCAGAGGATGTAGCGTCGAGAGGCTGATTCACTTGTTGTCTAAAGAAGCTGGATGCATGTACTATATAGGAGTTGCAGAGGAGGAAGGACGAGTTGAGCTGTTTGAGACAGAAGGCCTTCAGGTGTGATGAGCTAGTTGAGGAGGTTGAGAATCTACAGCAGAAGCTGACCGAAGTTTCCCAAGATGCAAATGACAAGTCGAAAAGCGAAAGGGAATTGCTTTCACAGTTGATGTCACTGAAACACGACAATAATGAGCTTGCTTCAGCCGTAAAAAAGCTCGAACTCGCAGAAGATGCTGTCAAGGTAGTGCCCCCACCCGTTAACCTGCTTTCTTATTGGTTGTTTGAGGTCCACGTGATGTTAATGTTTGAGAACATTCTCTTCACAAAATCGACTCAGAAACTGAAACTGAGCGTACGGTTGAAGAAAAGATTTTCATCTATGTTATGTACGATTAGTTTGTTGGAAGGCTTCTTTAGATTATCAAAACTGGAATCTACGAAGATACCTTCCCGGATGGCGAAGCTTCATTGGTCTCTTTCACCAGTAAAATTCAGATATCACGTTGAAGTCTGGGTGATTACTTTGGTGAACCCATCCTTTTTGCTATATTACTGGGCCACCCCCAGTCTACTCTTGGTGATTATGTAGGTCTGGGATGAGTTGAACGTTTAGGGTAAAATCTGTTGAACTCACCTTTCCGCGAAAAGAGAGTTTCGGAGTTTCCAGATTTCAATATAATAGGTCTACTTGTTTAGATCTAAACTAGAAATTCTATGACGGATCTGCGAAGTCAGTGTGCTTCGCTTGACCCACCAAAGGGCGGTGACTCTATTGAGCACTGTGGGGGCACTTCCAGCACCTTGTGTAGCGCTTTACAAAAACTCGGAGCAAGTGCAAGGCACAATCCCCTTTTCCTTCACAGCTTTACATGCAACCATGAGAAGTGCAAAAGCACAGCAGCTTCAGATTGCATTATCTCTCTTCTCATTCCAGATTCATTCCAAAGGTGTAGAAGGTATGCGAAGGAAATGCGAGACACTAATCACTAGTCCGCGCATAGAGTTGCGGCTAGCCACAATCGTCATAAGAGAAGAAAAGAAGAGGGATAAACATTTGTCCCACCTTCCTATGCCTTCCTACAGAATTAGTAGTATCACCTTGTATATTCTACTGACATGAAGTTCCAAATTTTTACTAGCCATAATATTCAAGAAATATGACACACAAGGTACTGATGCTGTATTTTAAGTGGTTGATGATTGTGGTCTTCTAGTCCAGCGTCTTTAAATCACAAGACGGTATCGATTCTGTTTGGTGTGAATACTTCGAATGTATTTTCTCACATACGGGGATATTTGCTACGGTCGGCAATTCGCATAGACATAACCTTCTCTTAAACGAATGTCTGATATCTCAAACATATGTGGTGTAGTAGAAGATGTTTAAAAACTTATTGATTCATGAGCATACGACGGGAGAAGCTCCGACAGCTCTGATCATCTGTGCGCAATTTTGATTGCAGATTAAAAATGTAATGCTGGAGAGTCAGAATGAAAGCATAAGGGACCTTAAGCAACAGTTGCTGGAAGCGAGAGAGGCCTTCAATAGGGTTCTGAAGACATCTGAAACTCTTGAAAGCGAATGTTTCAAACGTCTGCAAGATGAAGCCGAGAAGGTAATACTCCTGGTTCTGATTAAGAAGACGACAATCTTCTTCTTCAACTAATCAAATCCGATAACTTAGCCGCACAAACATTTGACGTTTAAAGTCGTACAGAAGTGAAAACCTTTGGTGTGAAGTCAAGCAGTAAGTCTATACTGTTCATCTGATGCAAAGTACATCATCTGACACATTTAAGAGATGCTTTGTTGGAACAACAGAAAAAATGATAAAGAAAATCTCTTTGACTTTAATTTGGTGCATTACAGGGTGAAGACTTGCGCAGGGAGTTGTCGCGTCAAGCCCTTGTAGTGGACAATCTGGAGGAGAAGCTAAGAGTAGAGAGATTGACTAAAGTGGCAGCGGAAAGGACCGCCAAGTTCCTACAACTAAAAGTTGAAGAAAAGGAGGAACTGCTTAGGTGAGAATCTTTCGTGGACATGTTCACGCCTTATACCGAGGAAAACTGTAAACTGGCAGTAAGGCATGTATGCCCAGGTGTGCAGGTATATCTATTCTGTAGCATTTGACTCTACCTGGGCATGTTCGTCACATTGCTGTTGTGCATGTATCACGAATGAAGATCATGGTCTGGAATTGGAGAATGCATTGACTTGCATACAACCTGAGAATGCTCAAGCGTCGAAAATGGTTTTATCCTTCTAAATATCTTATGTAAACTGAACTAAATGTAATGCACATGACAGCTTGGAATTTCATCTTTCTTAATACCTGGTGCACTCGTATATTGAATGATGGCAGGTACGTTGAGGATGAGATATCCCAAGTGAAAAATCTTTATGACAATAAAGTGAGGGAGATTGCAGTTGAGCGAGACCAAGCAATGGAGGAGCTGAAAAACACACGGAAGGTTGAAGCAGTGAATTAGTCTACTTTTGTTTACTTGGCAGCTCATCAAGTTTGACGTTACTCACAAGTTCTTCGTTCGGATGAGATAATCATGGATCTCTTTTCAGTGGTTATACTCACTGTATGGTGCAGAAACTTGTTCACTGCTATGAAAGATGAGCTGAAATTCAGTGCACCACTAACTCAAAGCCGCTGAAAGGAGCAACTATTGTAGGCAGGTTGTTGTGATCCTCAGGAGAACCTCGGAAGGAAATAAAATGACCATTAAAATCAGGATGTAAGCTTTTAGCTCACAGTATATTATGTTCTCAACAGTACGCAATAGTCTGTTGGTTCCCGTGAACATTTAATTATAATCGCTTCATTCTTTGGTCCAAACGATCTGAGCATTGTCGGGAGTCATAACCGTAAGACTCATTCTCGTATTGACCAAGAGAATTAATGCGCGTTGTTACTCTGATTTGACGCTTACCAGGAAATCGAGCAGACGAAGGAAGAATTACTAGAAGAAGCCAAAAGGAGACAAGATTTATCAGTTGAAGCAGAGAAGAGCCGAGAGTTACTGGAAGCGAGAAACTCGCTCCAGGTAATGTATCAACACTGGTGTTTCCGGATGCATACATTGTTATTGATCTATAGTTTACTGCCCATAGTGAGATCACCTATGCAAGTTCATTCAGTTCGTCATCATTCCACACTCATGACACCTAGCAGTGCGCTAACTTATTGACAGCATTAATTGACATGCCTTGGAAGCGCGGTAAGACTACGTGTGAGAATTCTATGTTCGTTCCTATCATCGATTTCGTCATATTCCACTTACAGGTAGGACAGTGAATCAGCAGTCAATTTACAAACAAGAATTGCATGTCATCTGCTTTTAAGGAATTGAGATGAAAACCAATGCGTTGAATGCATGCTTTGACTGTAGACTGCTGAATTATGTATCGCAGAACCAAGTAGAAGCTTTGAAAGCAAAAGTATCAGAGAAGGACTTCCAGCTAAGTGAGACGGCACGAAGAGTGTTGGAGTTGGAGAATGAATTGGACTGTCAATCCCTTGCCATGGAAAAACAAAGAGCTGTAGCTTCTTCAAAGGTACAGACTATTTCCCGATTGTAGCCGCGTTATTTGTGTCACTATCATGTCACTGCTGGAAACCACGAAATGTTCTCGTCTTAAGGACAGATCCTCGTTTGACCTGGAGTAGTAAGGTAGCTGCCAAGAACTTTCAGAGACCGGAAGCGGAAAAAGGGAATATTGTATATTCTCCTATTTAGGGTCTAGGGTTTTGGAGTATAATGGCGCACTTGCCCTCTTTGAGGCCGCCACTCGTCTTGGCCCTGGCAAAGTTTTCAAACACGAGAACGAGTTATCTCAATAGTCACCGCCACGTCCAATTTCTATAGCTTATTTGAGAAAAGTAGATTAAATGAACGTCCACGAAGGCAAGTCAATAGTAAAGTTAGAGAAGAAAGACCAAGGTCCTGTACAACGAAGCCGGAAAGTGGACAGCCCGACCTCCACCTGACCCGATCATCCCTTCCCCTCGTTACCCTTATCAATGCATCAAGTGGGCAAGAAACTAGGAAACCCTAAACGCTCACGTGATAAGACCAGGGCCAGAAAGCAGCAGAAACAAGATTCAGGCCTTTCGGACTCTTGGCCTGAGTTTGCTCCCGACTGCATGGTTTGGTTTCTTCGTTGGTTCCTCTGTGCATCAGCATACGAATCCAAACAGGAACGGACAAAGCCTAAATGACATTTCAACTCTTCACCGCCGATAGCTGGAAGTTCCGAATTTGGGTCTTGTCGTTAAGTCACGAAGCATTCGTTCAACCCAGGCCAGGACTTGGTCTCTACGACAGATCCGCTGGGCGGTGACAATGTCCGTGAGTCAGCAGGAGTGAAAAATCCAATGAAGGATTTGAGTCTCCGTGAGCCATTCGCTGATGCCTCTAGAGCGCCAGATACCTTTTCTTCTCGCAGTTTGCAACGGTATCTTCCATTCTGAGCCCAGGCAGACCTACTTTTCCCGAGGTCACATGATTTGAGTGGAGAGTAGGGGCTTCAGTTGATCGAAACAAGGGTTCGAAATTGTGATTCCATTGTCATTATCCGGCATATATATTAGTTTAATGGCCCATGTTGTAGCCTTAACAGCATTTTTTCGAGCCCGGTTACTTTCTGTACGGACGGTGTATGAGAGGGAGAATTGTCTCAAGCAAAAGCACAAGAGTGACGCAGCTCGATTGATAGCACAGCCTGTCCCACGTTCTTCTCATCACTTGGGAGGACTTTGTCTTTTGCTGGGGGGCTGGATCACTGGGGGAGAGTAGCTTACACTAGTTGCTGCCATTGCCATGCAAAAATAGGGAACATGTGCAATACAGGTGTGTCACAATAAAGAAGTTGTGCGAGTAGGAAAACTGAATGATAGTTGTAGCATGGTTTACTCATGTACGAACATAGTACTTGCTGACAAGATATGAAAGTTAAAGAGCAAATCGAAGCTACAACTGAAGCCTAAACAATCATGAGATGAGAAACGTACTATTGTGTGCAACTGACATGTATGTAGAACTTTGACAGGTGGAACAGTTACGAAGAGTTTTGGAAGATATAGGAGATCTCAAATAGAGACTGGACGCCTCGAGTTTGAGCACAGAAATCAGGGAAACGGGCTCTACAGTACTCCAGACGATCACGAACACGACTTGATTGCGAGGGAGCGAGCGGAACTAGTACTTGTTGGATAAGAAATATCTCATCCGCTATAAGTAAGATTAATCCCGGCAACAAGTATCAAAGAAGGTTCATATTGCCTTCAAGTATCATGTTCAAGGTTCTGGACAAACCTGTAAAACTATAGATGAGATACTTATTCACAGTAGTTTACAAAAGGTTACACACTTTACAATTTTAAGGCGTAAAAATTCATATGCGGATTATAAGTAGAGGTAATCATGGGTTCTAGTTGGCAGAATTGGTGTAACCCACTTTGGGCACTAAACTCAAACTAGTTCAGACTCTGCGAGGTTTGTGAACTACATTTCATGTCTCTAACACTATCATGAGCTCAGCTCTACATGCTGAAAAACCTCGTGGCTTCTCAGTATGGAGGGTTCCAAAGGGTGTCAGAAATTACCGATCCGTCTAGGTTTGGCCAGATTGATTGTTGTGGATTTTCAGCATAACTGTACAGCAGGTCAGCGATGAGCCGATCGTTGTCGAAGGGCGGCATGCGCCCTGTCTCTGGACGAGGTATTACAACGACGTCGGCCGCAACCTCGCGGTGGACAGAATAATTGTTGTCATCTTCTTCCAGGCGAGGAAGGCTCAGGTCGTCTCTGACGCACGGCGGTAGGTGGAAACCCAGCTCCTGCTGCTGCTCTTGGGTCACGGTACGATGATCCGAGTAAGGGAACCCAGGCTCCTCCTTCACTGTCAGTGGCGGCAGTTCCGGCCAGTCCGGGCCCATATCTAGACCCCCGTTCGGCAAGTCCGAGACGTCAGCGACGTCTCTGGGTGGTATGTTCCGCTCTTTGATAAACATGTGGCACGCGACCCATTGCTCGTCCTGCATATGCATCACAGTCGTCACAGCACAGGCGAGGAGTCAATTGCCATCATCGCGAGCTCTCGTCTCAGGACTGACAAAATCAGACGCACACTCTCTATATCTCCTCCTGTACATTTGGCTTGCATGCTTCGACCGGACGCAAGTGGAGAGGACACCCAGAAACCCAGAAACGCACGAGACATGTGCGTCTCGTGCCATGAGATCACACATGCACACTCTCACCGCACCAGCCACAACAGCAGAAAGCCAAAGCAAGACTGCACTGGACTGGACTGGACGGAACTGCATACGGAGTATTCAGGAGTTTACCCTGACCGTGGAATCTGGATCTGCCTCGAGTCTGTATTCGTGCAAAATCCAGTCGGTTTTGTTGCCATTGGGAGCGCGGCCCTCGTAGAATACCAAAGCTTTGCGGTAGCCGATGACACGCTTGTGCCGGTCCTTCTGATTTATCTTCCCGTAAATGGGCTTGTCACGGCCCGTGGCTTTCCAAAAGCCCCTCCGCGTTGCTCTGTTCGAGCGCTTGCCGTGACGATACTTCTGCTCCTTCTGAGTGTAGAAGTACTGATTCAGCTCGTCGGCGTGAGTGGCTCTGATGCTGCAAGTCTCGGGGATTCCTGCATTGGAGGCCGCGCGAGTCAGTCCTCGGGTGCACCTCTCGACACCAGATCACGACGACTCATGTCCGAGGACGGGCTGGCACGTACCGACCAACAGACAGACAGACAGACACAAACACACGCTGCTGGAGCGACCGAGAATATTCACTCTCTCACACACACATCGAGGGGCGCGGAATTACCTTTGATTTCCCAAGGCTCGACCTGCGAGAGATCAATCTCGCGCAGCACGTCAGAGATGTCCTCGGGCTCGTACCGACTGCGGTCTTGCCTCTGGCGTTTAACCTTCTTATTTAGATTTGTGATGAGCTCAGCGCCCGTCGGGCGGAAGTGCCAGCCCCATGGAATTTTGCTGTTGGCGCTTATGGGGCTGATGGACGGCTGGCTCGGTTCCGGAAATTGCAACGCGCCGCCGATTGTACTGCTACCGTAATGGGTCGACATCTGCAAGAGCGCACAATTCACCACCACTCCACCATCAGCTCCCTTGACACACACTGACCTCCACGCCCATGATGACCCATGCTGCCAGCTTCTGAAGCTGGCAGCGCACCCGAGCACCCACCGGACACAAACTTACGATAACCAAGCGAGAGATAAAAAGAGGGAGAGATAGAAATAGAGAGAGAGCTCTCGAACTGACAGAAGCAAGTGCGCAGCCCCAGGGGGGATGGGACTGTCTGTGAGCGCATCTTCCATGTTCCTGAATCGATGAGTCATTCGGGACCTTCGTGGACTCGGATACGCACTGGCGAGGGACAAGCCCCACCCCCGCAACTGAGAGATGCGGGAAAGTGATGAGCGATGGATCTATCGCTCCGGAAGTCGACCTTCACGAAGGCGACTGTCACCTGATAGAACGGGGGCTCAATCCTCCGGGCACGTCCACGTCTGCAGACGTGAAAATTGGGCTCCTTCCGCGAGAATCCCCGGGAAAGCGTGGAGCGGGATGGCAATGCAATTCAGTCGCTTGCACACCTCGCTGGAGCTCCGAGTTCTTGCACCCAAGCCCGAGCAGCTCGAGAGAGTGAGGGCGAGAGAGAGAGCGAGAGAGAGCGACGAAATGGGACGCACCTCAGCGAGCCAAGTGATGGGCTCCAATCCGGGAGCAAATCCTCGAGGCGATGACGGCATTGACGGAAGTCTGGGCCTCCTCTCTACGACAAAACCTAGGTCGAGCTCTGTGCGTCCGAGCAGACAGCGACGAGCCCGTGATCGGGGTGCGAGATTTCTATGCGGATTGCCACCTCCGACAATCATTCCCCAGTCCAAGGTGCTACTTGGATCCCCCACTCAGGAAACTCGTGTATTCCGGAGCGCCCCGCGCAATGTTAGCGCACTGGGCGGCCTCCGTGATCGTGATCAGAAGCCAGCCCCTCAGAATTACAGGCTCCGGGCGAATAGTCCCCCAGATACGCAGTATAGATTCACGGATGATTTTTTTCTGCTCCGAACCGTGCATGCATGTCGGGGCCTGCACTATCAGACTGCAATATAGCCCCCGGACTCGCATTTGATCCCACGGGCCGCGAGAACTGGGGGCTGCGAATATTCACCCTTTGTAATTCCCCGAGCTTGGGGAATGACAGCCTTGTGCGCTTTAGATGGCGGGGCATGCACAAGCGCGAGAAATCGCGGCAGTCGACGAGTCTCGTCAACCCCCAGAGAGAGAGAGGAGAAGAAGAAGAAGAAGAAAAGGGGCGGAAAAGAGAGGTCTCGATGGGATGAGCAGGAGGCTCATCGAGGGCCTCAGGGAGCTGGGAGCGAGGTCTGCATTTTCTTCACAAGCATAAAAATGAGAGTGTCGGGTCTAACCTCTCTCCAGAGTGCGCAATCCAGTCGGTCCACAATTCACGTCGCTGCAGCTGCTGCTGCTGCTGCTCCCGCTCCTGCTGCTTCTTCGTCGACAGACGACTGGGAGGAGGAGGGGGACGGCGGTGGGGGAGGGGCAGCGGGTGGGGTTTGCGACACTTGCACGTCGAAAGTGCGAAGCGAAGCGGAGTGGAGTGGACTGGACTGGAGTGCAGCAGTGGCCGCAATACGAGTGCGGGATGGGCAGGAATGAACGAATGAAATCTGATCTAGTGCGTCCGAGGGGGGCGGCCACTACTCGAAATTTCTCAAGCACAATGCTCGGCACGCAGTGCTAGCGGACATTATCCAACTCCAGAATGGCAAAACGAAATCGGCGAATTGATATAAGACCCGTGCCCAGAGTCGACACAGGAGACAGGAGACAGGAGACAGGAGAAGGAGACCAGACGAGGCGAGGCGAGGCGAGGGCAGGCAGGCAGGCAGGAAGGAAGGAAGGAAGAAAGGAAGGACGGTCACCTCCTCTGAGCGAACAAAGAGGAACCGATATAGACAGAAGAGCAGGAGCAGGAGCGGCAGCAGGCCTGGAACAAAGATGGTCCGGGCGAGCGAGGCGAGCAAAGGTAGGCACAAGAAGGCGGGTGAACCGGAGAGCTACTCTCACACGCTAACGCAAAAGTGAGCGATGAGTAAAAACGTGAGACTATTAACAACAACAGGAGCGGTGAAAAGCCGGGACAGCTCTCTTCTAGCGGCAGCAATAGGGAAATTGAAAGCACATATCTCTCTCTCTCTCTCTCTTCCTCTCTCTCTCTGCGCGCAGAACTAACCTTCTTTCTCGTCTCCTCCTCGTCCTGAATGTCACATACTCACTCTCACTCTCTCTCTCTCTCTCTCTCTACTTCTACGAACCGCTCGCTGGCTCGCTGGCTCGTGTCTTCACTGGTGCACTGAAGTGAACTACTGAACTGAACTGGACTGGACTAAGAAAGAGGCTGTTGGTCACTAGAGCACACAATCTCTGACTGTCTACTCCCCCCCCCACCCTCCTCCTTCCAGCACGAGACTTTTAGAATCCCTTTAAAGTGATGAGTCCCACTCGCGACGAGCAGATCACCTTCACCACCAACATCCACCCATGAGCGAGCAACTCTAAAGGCAGCGAAACGCGCGAGACCTTCACTCTATTGATCACCAAATTATATATATCCCGGCCCCCACCCCGACCTCAACTGGCTCGCCCCAGCACAGCGCTTAGAAGGGCGGCTACATCACGTTGCTTGCTCCTCCTCCTCCTCCCTGCGCGGATCCCCTTTCCTTTCCTTTCCTTTCCTTCCCGGCCCCCTGCCCTGCGCTGCCCCGCCCAGCCCCAGCCCCGGCCCCGGCCCAACCCCAACCCCCGAAGAGTAAACTACAAGACAGACGGTGCGCGCACACAAGCACTCCCAGAAAACGATTTCACCCCAGCAGGCAGGCACTACGGGAGCAGCAGCCCCGGCGAGCTCGCTCGCAGAGTCTCCGACTGTGCCTGCGGTCCTACAGCGCCTTGGGGGCTCTCGCCATGCATCGGGCTGCCACCCTCGCTATATTCTGAGCCACCAGTGGTGCCAGTCCAGCGGGGAGATCGCTCACGACCGGGCAGCTCCAGCTCCGGCGGGAGTCAATCCGTCCGAGGCCCCCAAACCGAGTAGAAGACGACTGGGCTTGGGCTTGCTTCCCCCTCGTCGACGGGGGGTGGGCTTCGGGAAGTTCCGAGGATGGACTTTCGTGCAGAAGCGAACAAAAGCGTCCCGCGAATTTCTTTCCGCCGGTTCCTGGGACTTCCACGAATTCGGGGTGATGCGAAAAATCTAGACTGCGGCATGTCTGTGACATCAGCCGGCCGGCCATCCATCCATCCATCCATCCATCGGAGGGTGGGGGAGGGGCAAGCGAGCGAAGCCCCGTGGGCTGCAGACTGTGCTGCCCCCCCCAACCCGAGCAGACGAGAGGGGACGGGCACGGGCACGGGCACGGGAACAGCATAAGGGAGCAGCGGCAGCTGCCCCAGCTTCTGGGGGGCTGGGCTTGCTGAGAATAGTACAGATATTGCTGCTCGGCGGAGCGGCCGGGAGAGGACGGCACCCGCGGGGAGGCGTCGGGCATGGGGGCTGGGGGCTGGGCGGCATTACGCTCCGGCTTGTTGGGCCTGGGAGTCGGGGGATTTGGTAGGTCCACACGGCGAGGCGGAGGAAACGAAAGGGTCGCGATTATTCCTCGTCTGACGTGGCGAGCCCTCGATACGTGGCACGTGGTGATTGAGTGAGGTGGGAGGAAATTGGACTCGTTTCCTGCACCTGCCCCGCTCCTCGGACCGGCCCCGCTTCAGCGAATTGATTGACGTGGACTTTCTGCACTGTGACGTGGACTCGCCCCGGGTGACTTTCTCCGTTCTGACCCGCAGTTTGGCGGAGGCATTTGTCAATGCCCCCCGCTCCGCGGCGGTCGAGACAAACGCTCGGTCGCCTTCTCTATTTGTTATGTCACTCCCGTCTCTCTAACTGTTAGCCACCGCTTACCCCCAACCCCAACCCCCCTTCACCATATCTCCTCTAACCGCTCTCGCTGCCCCATTACTATCATCGTCGATTTTCTCAAAAGGGCGACTTTACGAGCCCGAGAATGATTTCACGACGGGTGGTCGTATTTTATTAGGGGGCAGCGCAGGCCCTTGTTGTATAACGCATGCAAATGACTCGCAGAGAATGGGAAATGATACGATGGCAAAAGCGGGGGCTTGTATAGAGAAATTTGTGCGACAGACATGCAGGGATCAAAAGGGCGAGCTTATTGGAGGGTATGTTCGCGTTGTGCGTTACAACAAGTACATGCACGATCGGAGCATTAGGTGAGAAAAACATACGTCAATTTGGGGCCTTTTTTATGCGCGAGTAAAGAGTTTGTATGGCCCCGATCTTATCTCTGTCAACTTCTCGAGTTCATTTTGTCATGGTCTGGGGGTTGCGCCTGTGGATATAATTATCGAGGAGCCATGGCAAAGTGTATCTTTCACAAATACCGCCCCTGATCTCCGGATTCTAATCCAGATTTTCTTGCTTTCTCCCAGAAATATAATTCATGTCTCATCATGACACTCTTTGGACCTGCTTTGCATGAAGTTATGAGTTTTGCGAGTGTTTGCTTGCATGGTGTTCTGGGCTTCTAAACGCATCCAAACTTTTCCATGTCTTGGGGTCCGATGGAGTGTGTTCAGTTCTTTTGCACCTGGCGACGTTTCTCCCTCTGCCCAGCTACCCCTGGTCCGAACGAGGAAGGAGGAAAATGAATTACGTGAACCAAGGATTACTTCTAATTATGAGCGGAACTTTCTTCTTTTAGCATTAAAGGTTGAGTGTCTCTGTAAACCAACAAAATGCCTTCTTTCGTGGTCCAAGATATTTTTCAGAATATCCAGTGGATAATTATAGAAAATGCTCATGACTGCGGGAAAATATCTCATATTACATTTATCGTCCTAGATTCATAGCTCGTTTAGCATGAATGAAATATTCCTCGCCGGTATTAATTGAAGATCTAAGAAGAGGGAACCCCCCTTCCCTTTAGAATTTTTCCACCTCGAGACTAAAGCGTAAAAGTGATAAAATTTCGCCATTAAATCAGAAAGTATGTATAGTGCAAGTTCTACATGAAATTAAGCGCAAGGCATTGCCTGTAAGGATGATTCTCTTCTTATTATATTTCGACGGTTGTAAAGGCAATTGCTAGAAAGCAGGGATCAAAGGACAGCAACACTCGCAACCCATAATACATGTCTTCTCTCTTTCCTATTTATTGTCTACCGCCGGGAGTAAATACATGTAGGCTGTGCTGGGCCGGGCTGAGCTGAGCTGAGGTTGAACCATAGACAGCAGCTCGCACCATGTTTGGTACGTTCACTAGAACAGAGGCCGCCATGAGCAGCAGCAGTACGAGCGATGGGCAGTTCCTACCAGCGCAGTCATCCGAACATGGCTATTATTCTATGCGTCTCTGGCTGCCAACATGTCATCCGAGCGCCGGGGATAAATAAACACCGTTGGGGCCCTTTTCTATAATGGTCCACTCCCTCGAAGCCCAAGCTCAAGCCCAAAGGCTGGGGGAAGAAATGGAGAAGACGCTCGTTCGACGGTGAGAAAGTTAGAAAACACGTGAAATTAGAAGGGGTCGAAATAAAGAATAGTTGAGCGCTGCGCAAAAGGAGTGCACGAATCCACCACGCGAAATACAATAACTATTCGCGGCAGGCGCTGCGCGATTCCAGTCATCGAACCATAGTCTTTAGTGCTAACAATAAGAGGGAGTCAACTGGCCATGAAGGAGCGGGAGTGCGAGGCAGGGGGGTGAAAGAAGCCCAACCCCGCAGAGTGCTCACGAAGCCCCACCCCGCCCGCCCGCCAGCCCGGAGTCAGGTCAAGGGGGGGGGGGGGGGGGGGGGGGTGAGGAGGAGGCCCATGAGGCTCCGAGGCGCATGACATGAGCGGGCGAACTGTCGAGGTCGGGCTGACCAGCTGTTGCGCGAGCGGGGTCTTCAAAAACAATTCCGGTGCGGGGCATCGCACTCGCTCGCATGGGTGCCGGCTCACAGGGAGCGCCCTCGTCCTCGGAAGACGGCTTCGCTTGTGTGTTGGCCGCACGGACTCCGAATCCTGCTATTAAAGAACGCTTCGACCCGGACGAGCAAGCGCACGTCGACAGCCCCCCTCGCGGGCCGTCTCACCGCCCGGTTTCCACCCCCACCCCCCGTCGTCGTCGTCGTCGAACGAACGGGCCACGCACGGAGTGAATACCGCGACGGGGCTCCGGTACGGACCCCAAGCCCAAGCCCAAGCCCAACCCCGGCCGGGGGCTGTGGCCGTCACGGAGATGTCATCCGGCCTGGGAGCGGAGCCGCTGGGCAGATCTCGGCCGCTGCGGTCAGATTCAGCGGCGGACCGAGTGAGGAGAGCAGTGACTGCGCTGAGGAGAGCATTGTGCGACGCCAGATCGGGGGGATCGAATGGAATGATGAAAGTGCTGATGCGGCGGATGCAGTCGGGCTTACGTAGTCGGCGGGGGCGGGGGCCGTTGTACTACTACTACGTCGGTGTAAACAGGAGGAGGCGCGGGCGATTAAAGAACGAGGCGAAAATCGCTCTCGCTCTCGGGAAGCCCTCGTGAAGCTGAGGAGTGCTTCGCCCGCTGCCCCAAAGCAGCCTCGCGCGAATGGATGGGGTAATCCGATCGCATTACGTGATTCGGCTGCCTGAGGGACACCGCAACCGCACACTCCAGACTATAGTGGCTCTGTCTTTCCCCTTTATACGACGCTCGCCGATCTCCGCTACGAACAAAAGGGCCTCAAAAGCAGTGCTGGCCCCGCTGCGGCCGAAATCTGCGCGAATATGGGCCTCCGGCCGGGGGCTGGGGGCCGGGGGCTGGGAGGCGAAGCCCGTGCGGTCCACCAGCCCCTCGCTGGGTGGGAGTCGTCTCCGGCAGCTGTGGCTTCTTCTTGCGGGACAAGTTGCAGAAGCGGACTCGCTCTCAGACGAGGAGGACGAGGACGATCAGGAGCGTTCAGGAGGTTCGATCCCCCACCCGCACCCCCTCTCCCTCCCGGGGCTGGCGCTGCCCCCCAGGATGCCAGATCCGAGAGTGGAAGAAGATCGAAGGTCCGCGCTCAGGCCGAGGGGCTGGGGCTGGGGCTGGGGGGATACCCCCGTTTTCTTTCCTTTTCGGTCAGTGGCTGGAGAAGCCTCCGGCGATGTGGTACTGTTGGGTAGCGGTCGAGGGCCCCGCAGCAAATCTTGGTGTGAAGATGTTCGGAAGCAAGTGTCATGGATTTTTGATACATTTGATTGTTTCCATGCTCGGCTGCGAAGCCGCGACCAGCCGGCTGGCTCGCTCGCTCGCCGGCTGCCAGGCAGGCAGGCAGGCAGCGGCAGCAGGTGCAGCAGCAGCAGGCGAAGAAGAATATGTACGAGGCCCCTGTGGGGAGGGGAGCCCGCGTACGAAACAGCATATGACCTCCTGGAGAGCGCACTTAACTTGCCTAACTTCCTCTTCCTTGAGGCGATTGATTATCTAGTTGCACTCGCTAGCGGATTATGATAACCTTCACTCCACAGATCATGCCTTTATTCCGAGGATGTGACCTGCACCCGTGTTCAAGTTGGATCACTTTGGGTAGGGCATCTGCAATCCGGATAGGTGCCAGTCGATTCTTACGCATGATTCAATTTGTGTGTGGATATCTGAGAACACCGAAACTCACGCTATTACATAAAGCACTCCATGCCTTTGTGTCGATTCTTTGCATCTGGCTCTGGAACACGGACATGCTTTGCCTGCATCAAGAAGATATGGCAAAAGGCGATCCATTCTCGCTTAACACTTAACTTGTTCTCGCAGGCCCCAGCGCAGCTGCTGCTGGAGCCGACGAGAGTTGTTAAATCCGAGATGCCGAGAATGGGCATGGGGGGCCCTAATTGGATTGGCCCCGAACAAAAGAAAACTTGACCGTCTTTCTGACAAAGACTGCTGGTGACGCTTTGTCAGTGAGCCCCCCGCCTCGCCCTCACACTCTCAGGCGCAGGGGCAGCAAGCGGATGAACAAGGTGAAGACGTGGAGGGGCTAGCAGCGAAATTTGGGGGCTGTAGGGGCCCCTAACCCCCTTGTTACCCGCTCGCTTTCATCCCTGTTGGGCTTGATGGCGGACGATGGGGTCTCTCTCGCAGCCCCAGCCCCAGCCCCATCCCCACCCCCCCATCGCTATATTACTCGGAGCCCCCGCTCGAAGCGAAAAGCTCCGGAGCCCGATGAGGGCAGGGCTTCTGTTGACGACCCCTGACGCGCGAGACATCGATCCAAATCACGGCGTAAAGTTTTTTCCCGTTTCGAGCCAAGATGAAAAGCGCGGGGGGCTGGCCTGGCTGCGAGAGTTTTATGACGTAAACACGAGACAAGAAACAATCGAGGCGGCTTGGAGCCTAGGACCAGGGGAAGTGCACATCTCGGGGCATCAGTGCTTCTGTAAAGTGCTCGTCTCACTCACTTCCTTCCCTCGCTCGCTGCCAACATGACGACCTCATCCGGCAGAGAGAGGTGTTCCGTGCCATGCTTCTATTACATAATGTTAAAAAAACGCGGCTACCCTAAATCGGATGGGCCTCGTTCACCCGTGGCACGGCTCATGACAACATTCTTTTACCGCGGCCTCAAAAATCGATCCGCAATTGGGCGATGCACCAGCGTAAGTATTGCGCACTTTGCACTTTGCACTTTGTTCTGTGTATGTGTGAGTGTGTGTGTCTGGGCGATGAACTTCCGTCGCAGCACGCACTCCATCCCCTAACCCCCCTACTGCCACTACCCCTGGCCTCGGATGATGGAGCTGATGCCTGCTGATGATGCTCACTCAAAGGCACTTCAGATTAAAGTCCAGTGCTCCACCAGATGGAAAGGCCCTTGCAATTGTACTCCACATTCCCCGAAAAGCTACCGGACAGAATGTGCATGTCGTGTAACGAAACTCTCCATTTTTCTTTTCCTCCCGATCTGACAGAAATAATTGTGCCTCTCTTTCTATCTGTAGACGATTCTACAACAAAAATCTCATTCAATCATATATCGCCCCTCTCGCAGGAATCAGGATCAGTGCCATCCCTTCCATCCCTTCCATCCGAACACTGGCGACATGAGACGCATTCTGTCAGACGGTGCGAGTAAATATGTGCACGAAGGCGCACAGAAGCCAGTCTCATGAGTGCAACACGAACAGAACCCCCCCGAACACTATGATGACATATTTTGCTGCGCGGCCTCCATCGTCTCCGTCTCCACACCTTCTATCCCCTCCCTCCATGAGCACATGCCCTCACCAGACAAGACAAAGCCCAGACCAAAAGCCGGGCCTGCCCTGCTCACTACCCACGTCCCTCCATTAGCCCCCCATTAGCCCCCTCCCTCGTTGAATTGGAAGGATATGCGCCCTGGGGTAAGCCCCCAAAGAAACTCATGGGGCCTGGGAGGGGCCGGAGAGGGCCGAGGGGCAGTACTCTGGTGTATGTGCGCTTGGCCCCGTGCGAGCGAGTCTCGCCCGACGAGAATCACAATGATCATGGGAGAATTCGGAAAGTGCATTTTGGCGCTAAAAGAGCAGCAGGAGAGCACGAGTGGCCTAGAGAAGACGAGCGAGCATGGATTATAAGCGGTCGCGGGTTATGCATGACCAACACCTGCCGACAGAGAGACGAGCGACGACAATGGGGCTGATGAGCTTTTCGTTAGAATATAGAGGCACTTTGTAGGCACCCGAGGTCGAGCTTGTGATCCCAGGATCACAGCGTTTTGTGCTTGCCTTCTAGTTCAAGCTGGTCGCGGCCTGCATGCGAGCATGTTCCAATGTGTTGTTGTCTTGGGCAGGATTTGGTTTCTGGTGCCTAGTCTGAGCTCGACTTTGTCACCCGTTCCCGGATGCAAACACCTTGCGCTTGGCATTATTGGTTCCCAGGACGCTGTCCGCTTCTGATCCGCGAGATATTTTTTTGTCGTCCTTCTTCCGATTTGCCACCTCGACATGCAGGCGTTGTTATTATCCGCATTATAAGAATTTGGCTACGAACGACCTTCCAGTCCCTGATCTTCATGCATACATACACTCCACGGTTAACTTCAAGGTGACCAAGATTAATGAATCCTTCACTTGCACTCCTTCGATCCCAGTTTCATGCTCACATCGCACGAACATGACTTCTGCAAGTCGATCTTGTCAATGAATAGAATGTTCTTTGTTTTTTTAGCAGTTTCCAATATGATTTTCCTTCAATCAAAAATCACACAATAAGCAATTTTACAATAAGCTGGACTCTGATAATTGTAACGTACGTATAAAAATAAGGAGATGCATTCAATATTCAAGAAATTTTTCCAAGAAATGCATACACACATTTAATTTTTCTAATTGTATCTAAGAAAATAATTAATCACTGGGCTTGAACAATTTGATGTTACAAAATAAAAATACATTTCTACTTAAATTGTTATTTCTTATTATCATCATCATGAGCATAAAAAGTTAAAAAAGATTCATGTGAATGACTTGTCGTAGAACTGGATATCTCTCTCCAGATTAATAATGTGATTCGGAGACATGCAGTTCATACGTCAAATTGTTCTGTTTCCCAAGGATTGGAAATGTTGCAACAATATTTATGGGTATACGCACCTATTTTGACATGCGGAGGGTATCTGATGTTTATTTTCTACAGTTGTTAGAATAGCTCTTCGAAACAAATCTGAACCACCCAAATTACAACTCATTAGATTATGTGGAACAGAGAACAATAGTTGGCTTTAGCGGCTGGAAGGGGCTCTCCTTGTGAAAGCTGGATGAGTCTTGTGTTATGCACATGATCCGAGCGCTGCATGCTGCTGACAAGAGACTTGTAACGCGTTCTGAATGGAAATGCAAATGCAAATTTTAATTCGCAATCAAATTCAATTGAATGTGTTGTCAACCCTTTGACCTTGGAACCATAAGATCCCCGGCTGGAATTGGGCCTTCGATCGGGACTATGAACAGAAGCGAGGGAGTTTATGATTCTTCGCCCGAAGCTTAGTCAGTCCGAGAGTCACGAACAGGCGGGGGCTAAGGGGCTAAGGGGTTAAGGGGCCAAGAGGCAAAGGGGCAAAGGTGCCAAGATTTCAAAGCTGACGCCGCGTCGACAGCTGCATGGGGGAAGCTTCGCGCGCGTATCACAGCGCTTGCGGTCGGATGCTAATTGTGCAATTTAGTCCAAATTGCCGACGCCTTATCCCGCCTATTTTTAGTAGATTCCTGATCCCTCAGAGATCAGGACCCTGCGCCGTCCGATGCCCGTCCACGCTCCCGCGGAGCCCTTCCGAGGCCGTGGATGCGGCATGATACTAACAGCGCTGGAGCGTTAGCCGTGCGGGGAGTTCAGCGTCCTTAATCGCCCCTCGAGCGGATCGGGAAAGAAATGGGGCAGTTGCAGGCAGGGGGGCAGGCAGCCCCGTCCTCGGCTCGGCTCGTCTGGCAACTCTGGCACCGTCGCACCAGAACCTCTCGACACCGTATCCCCCACCCCCAAACCCAACCCCCCGCGCGGATACGTACATTTCGGAGGCGGCAGAGCCTGTCTCGTGCGGTAGAGGGATGGGGACGGATTCGACTGGGGGCCTAGGCCAGGTCGCGACCTCGAATCCAGGTCGCGCGCTAGTCTGACAGTGACGGAGGGCATGCCGTAAGCCTAGTCTGACAGCAGCGCGGAGAGGGATAAGTGTACGAAGAAGAAGGCACAGGGAAAGAAGGGGGACGGGGGATCAGCCCCTCAGCCGATGCTGGGGCTGCCTCCGATTGTGGACTTTTGAGCCCTTGGCGGATTCATTCGCAGAACTTGAAGCTCTCAGGAAACGCGTCAGTCCGAATGCGTAGCGCTCTTGCCTGACCCGAGCCCCCTCCTCAGCCCCTCCTCAGCCCCTCCGCCCGTGGGGCCCGCCGCTGCGCACACACGGAACACATCCAGGCCCCGCTCGGTGTATCTCTCGGCCCGCTCGCCCGCCCCCACCCGGGAAGTGCAGCCTCGTCGGCAAGGCTCCGCCGGTGAAGAAGCGCCCACCGGCGGGGATGGAATGGCGTGCTCGAGCGAAAACCGATGATGCCCGATGATATATGTCTGTCTGACAGGAAAGCGGCTCGGGCAAAAACGAGATGTCGGAACTGGAGTGGCAGTGATGAATGTCGGAGTGTGCCTAGAAGGAAGGAAGGTTGTGGTCGCTGTGGGGAAAGTCCCCAAAATAGAGATTCCGGATAAAACGAGCCCAAATTTTCCCCCTCCGGCCTCCAGCCCGACATTTACTTCGCGGGCGGGCGCCCGTGACGTGGAATCTCCCTCCCGTAGTCAAAAGCGGCCAAATCCACAGCGACATTTATGTCCACGTGTTCTGTACCCATTTAAGATCTGCGAGCCCCGTCCGCATTGAATGTTCTCCCCAAAGGAACTCCAGCTTCGATGCGTTCCCCTACCGCGCCCGACGCTCGATACAAGGAGCCCCCGTGAGCTGGCGGGCTTGCCCCCCGAACGGTCCTCGCTCGCGCGCATTCATAATGTGGAATTCCGCCTCAGGGATCCGGGCAGTCACAGCCCCCTGAGGACGGTATCTTTATGGCAGGTGAAATCATCTCCATTAGGCATCACCGGCCCCGATCGCAACTTCCCGATCAAGGTAC